GCACTTTCAGGAACTATTGAATCGACCAGCTCCACTGAACCCACCCAACATCGAAGCAGCATCCGAGGACCTCCCAATTAATATTGGCGCACCTACGATTGAGGAGATCAGTATGGCCATCAGACAAATCAAGAGCGGCAAAGCAGCAGGACCAGACAACATTCCAGCAGAGGCAATGAAAGCAGATGTAGAAGCAACTGCAAAAATATTTCACATCCTCTTCAAGAAGATTTGGGATGAGGAACAAGTACCATCAGATTGGAAAGAAGGATACCTGATCAAAATACCAAAGAAAGGCGATCTCAGCAAGTGTGAGAACTACAGAGGCATCACTCTTCTTTCAATACCAGGCAAAGTCTTCAACAGAGTATTGTTAAACAGAATGAAGGACTTCGTAGACGCCCAACTTCGAGATCAACAGGCCGGATTTCGTAAGGATCGATCGTGTACTGACCAAATTGCTACATTACGGATCATTGTGGAACAATCAATTGAATGGAACTCACCACTCTACATCAACTTCATCGACTACGAGAAAGCATTCGATAGCGTGGATAGGAAAACACTGTGGAGGCTTCTTCGACACTACGGTGTGCCTGAGAAAATAGTCAACATCATACGGAATTCTTATGATGGATTCAACTGCAAAATCGTGCACGGAGGTCAGCTGACAAACTCGTTTGAGGTGAAGACCGGTGTCAGGCAAGGTTGCTTACTCTCACCCTTTCTCTTTCTCCTGGTCATCGACTGGATTATGAAGACGTCAACATCTGGAGGGAAGCACGGTATCAACTGGACAGTTAGGACGCAGCTGGACGATCTGGACTTCGCAGATGACCTGGCTCTTCTATCGCACACTCAACAACAAATGCAAGAGAAGACGACCAGTGTAGCAGCAGCCTCTGCAGCAGTAGGTCTCAACATACATAAAGGAAAGAGCAAAATTCTCCGATGCAACACAACATGCACCAACAGAATCACGCTTGATGGAGATGCTTTCGAGGACGTTAACAGCTTTACATATCTTGGCAGCATCATCGACGAGAAAGGTGGATCGGATGCAGATGTGAGGGCGCGGATTGGCAAAGCGAGGGTTGCATTTCTACAGTTGAAAAATATCTGGAACTCCAAACAACTTTCAAACAAAATCAGGATTTTCAATACAAATGTCAAGACAGTTCTACTGTATGGAGCCGAAACATGGCGAACTACCAAAGCCATCATCCAGAAGATACAAGTGTTTATTAACAGTTGTCTACGCAAAATACTTCGTATTCGTTGGCCAGACACGATCAGCAACAACGAACTGTGGGAGAGAACAAGTCAGATTCCAGTGGAAGAGGAAATCAGGAAGAAGCGGTGGAAGTGGATAGGACACACACTACGAAAAGCACCTAACTGCGTCACGAGACAAGCCCTCACATGGAACCCTCAAGGCAAAAGGAATAGAGGAAGGCCAAGGAACACACTACGCCGAGAAATAGAGAAAGATATGAGAGGAATGAACAAACATTGGACAGAATTGGAGAGGGAAGCCCAGGACAGAGTTGGTTGGAGAAAACTGGTGAGCGGCCTATGCTCCATTTTGGGTAACAGGCGAAAGTAAGTAAGTAAGTAAGAGTCCTTTTGTCTTCTAAGACAGAAAAACCACTTGTACTTACATGAGTAGGACGTGACCGATAGCGATGTGTTTCAGGATCTAATGAATTGCTTTCTGACACATTTGTCCTTATTCTTTTAGCTTGAGATGTTCCCGATACAGAATCATTGCTACTACTACATGAATACTGCAGATCAAATTTACTAGGGATTTTATTTGTGGATAGTGTACCTTGCTCTTTACAGAATTTTAAGACATAATCGATTTCGTACTGAGTTGCTTTGCGTAACTTGCTGACGGGTGTCCATTCTACAACGCGATCCCAAATATAACGTAGGCGATACTCTGCTCTCGTACCATGTCGCTGACGATGGGCTAGAACCTCAGCAAGACATTGGAAGTCGTTGCGCCATGTAGCCATTACATAACTACCCACCTCATTAATTGCAACCATTCTCAAAGTTCGTGAGTCAACTAGAGCAGCAGGCATTTGTAACCAACTGAGAGTATTAATCAACAGTCTGCATTTATACACTAAACGTACTACTATCCGTGACCTGCAGAGTGATTCTTTATTCTTTTCAGCACCGTTGTTGTGTACATCATTTAACTCGAAATGAAAAGGTCCAAGATTATTACACCTCTGTTTATTAGCATCGGAATTATGAGCTCGGCAATGCTGTCGAATAACTGGCATTTCTCTTTCACCTGCAACTAGGTCGACTTCCGCTAAAGTTAACGTTTCTTCCCGTTTATCTTCAACTACTTCCTTAGCAGAATCTTCTAGATTTTTCGAATCCTTACAGTCTGTCTGAGAAGCTGTAACAACTTTAGCCAATGCAGTAAAAGGACACGAAGCGGAATCATGACTTGTAGAGGATGATGTCCATAAATTAACCGAAGCATCTTTCGACACATCAGCATTCACAACGCTTGATTAAATATTTGATCCGAGAACACAATCAGATGGAATGTCTTTCTTAGCTATAACAAAACTTGATAGAACGGCAGGTGACTTAGCTAATTCATTTGATGCTTTGAGTGATGCAACGGAAGCCTCTGTGTGAGAAACATAATGATTAGAAGGAGAACTAGAAAAATCCTGATCTGTCGATTTAGTGCGAGGAGGGTTTGTTCCATTCAGGTTTATTTGCATTTTATCATGTTCACTGTTACTTTCCACAATAAACAAATTTGATTTCTTCTCGGAAACGGCCACAACTTGTTCACGATATTCTCTTCCTTTTTGACGTAAGCGTTCTAACTCAATTTCCTTCTCTATATGAGCTAAACGTATTTTTGCTAATTCTAACTCTAACAAAGGATCTATTCGGTAGCTATTTCTTCTAAACTGGTCTTCACTGTGAGTTTCCGAGCGGTAGGGAGACAATTTAGGAATCTGATCAGTTTTAAGAATCTCCGTGGACATTTGAAAGCAATTAGTATATGAACTTCTGATGAAATACTGTCCGAAACTATGTAGGATTTAATTTGTCCTACAGATGTAATTCTAAGACGTAAACGCAAATACCGCCGATGACAGAGTCCAGAGTGAAACTATAGTTAACAGAAGACAATTCGGTATTAAACTTTATCTGTTTCTAAACAAAAAGAAACGATTAAATTAGTACAATAAATGAGGAAATTACAATTAGCAAGCAGGATGAGCAAACGTACCGGACAGCATAGCGTGTCTTTAGAAAATGAATAAAAAACATGAGTCACAGCAATATAAATAAAATGATAACATCCTTCAATCGATGGACCATTCACAACAAAGAAAGTCTATACTTCGGTCAGACTAGATGACGTGGTGAGCGCATAACCAATCTGATTGGTTAGTTATGACATAACTACAATTAGTCATAAAATAACTAACAACCACATTAGCCCCAAGAGGCAACTGTCAGTTCGAATTCCACAGTGGTAGAGATAGTAGAAGTATTGGCAGTAATGGAGAAGATTAGGGTTCGAAGATATTATTCAAGTAGAATCTAGTCAAATAAGCGTAGAAAGAAAAAGATAAAGTGATGAGGAATTAGGAAGTTCAGGATTTGAGAGAACACAAAAAATAAATAAACCTGCACCATTGCAAACAGTTTTGAGACATGTTATTCAGGGTCGCTAACCACCGGTTACTATCATCTCGCAGGCCCCAACCAGCTAGTCGACACCTACCGACACGACTCAGTCCACTTGTCAGTGACTTCATGGATTTCTGCCATGTTTTGTTCTGGCCGCCCCTAACTTTCTTCCAACCTACTCCTACACTACAAAACGAAGCTCGTCGAGGCAGTCGGTGGTTAAGCATACGTAACACATGTCCCAACCACCTCAACTGATGAAGTTTCAATATTTCATCTATTGATCTGCCATCCTTACCTAGAACCCGATTCCTAATAACAACATTGCTCACTCGGTTGTCCCACGATACTCGAGCAATGCTTCGGATACACCTATGATCGAAAACCAGTTACCTACGAATATCTTCTACTCTCACTGCCCATGTTTCGCATCCGTATAGTAGAACGAAGCGAACTGCTCTGTAGTACATTCGTCCTTCGTTTAGCAGACGGATATTTCGCCTACGCCATGAGTGGCACGGGTTGGCGAGTACCAATCGAGCTTTCTGTATTTGTGCTGAGATTTCGTCAGTCACCAGGCCATCAGCACTGATGAGACTCCCCAGTTAAGTGAAGCGGTCGACACGTTCAACCGTTTCACTCCCTATCACTAGTTTATGTGCCGACGCAGACCAATCTTGAAGCAAAATTTTGCATTTCGAGTGGGTGAATCGCATCCCGAACATGTCTACTTTGTTGCTTAGGGTAGTCAAAAGACTGCATTTTGTCAGCGTCTTCACGAAATTGAACTATGTCATCGGCAATCTCTAGATCAGTAAGTGTGTCTCCTGGTAGCAGGTCCAACCCTGAAAATTCAGACGAAGATAATGTTATCTATAAAAGCAAGTCTATGACAAAGTGGACATCCCTGATGGACACCACTTGAAGTAAAGAATTCAGATGACAGTTAACTCAACCGGCAGTGTTTGAGTAGAGAGCTTGTATAAGGTTAATGTACTTAGCTACTGAATCCGGATAGCGACCGGCTTGTGCAATGGGGTGAAGATTCATTCATTTGTATTGGTTCCTTCAATCTAACATTAGTGTTTAGGACTGCAATCAATCTTTGAAATGCTCTCTAGGGAGTCTTGGCAGACAGATAGGTCAATTCTACTGCACTATTTCATAAATTTTTCATTTATTCCTTCATTTCACCTAGTCTTACTGTCAGAAAATTAGTGCTCTATTATAAAGTCCTGGACAAAGTCAGTCAGTTGCAACGTAGAACTTCGTACGTATGTACATAAGTTCATGTTGCCATACCACATTATTAGCACAGAGACGCAAATGTCAAATCAAATCCCATAGTGATAAAGATAGTAGAGGTATTAATGTTAATAAAGAAGACTAGGGTTCGAAGATATTATTCAAAAAATATAATTCAGTGAGGTAAGGTTAGAAAGACAAAGGTAGGGGTGCTGGCTAATCCAGAAGATTAGGATTTGAGAGAGCTCAAAGAGTGGATGCACCTGCGCCATTGCAAACGATTTTGAGCCATGTCGTTCAAGGTCTCTAACCATTGATGACTTTCGTCTCGCGGACCCCAACCAGCTAGTCGACACCTACCGACACGGCTCAGTCCACTTGTCAATGACTTCATGGATTTCTGCCATGTTTTGGTCTGGCCGCCCCTAACTTTCTTCCAACCTACTCCTACACCACAGAACATAGCTCGTCGAGGCAGTCGGTGGTTAGGCATACGTAATACATGTCCCAACCACCTCAACTGATGAAGTTTCAGCACTTCATCTATTGATCTGCCATCCTTACCTAGTACTCGTTTCCTAACGACAGCATTGCTTACTCGGTTGTCCCACGATATACGAGCAATGCTTCTAAGACATCTATGATCGAATACTAGTAACCTACGAACATCTTCTACTCTTAACGGCCATGTTTCACAACCATATAAGAGAACGGAACGAACTGCTGCGCAGTACACCCGTCCTTTGGTTAGCGAACGGATATCACGCCTACGCCATAAGTGACGCAAGTTGGCAAAAGCCAATCGAGCTTTCTGTATCCGAGCTGAGATTTCGTCAGTCACTAGACCGTCAGCACTGATGAGACTCCCCAGATAAGTGAAGTGATCGACACGCTCGACTACTTCACTCCCTATCACTAGTTCAGGTGTCAATGCAATCCAGTCTTGAAGCAATATTTTGCATTTCGAGGGGGAAAACCGCATCCCGAACATGCTCGCATTGTTGCTTAGGGTAGTCAGAAGACTTTGCATTTTGTCAGCGTCTTCACCGAATAGAACTATGTCATCGGCATATTCTAGATCAGTAAGCGACTTTCCTGGTAGAAGGTCAACCCCTGAAAAATCTGACGAGCCTAATGTTAACTCTAAGAGGATGTCTACGACAAAGAGAGTGGACAGCCCTGACGGACACCACTTGATGTAGAGAATTCAGATGACAGTTCGCCATATGCTCTCACCCGACCAGTGGTGTTCGAGTAGAGTGCTTGTATAAGGTTAATGTACTTCTTTGGTACATCTTTCAATGACAGACACTTCCAAAGAACCTCACGATCCACTGAGTCGAATGCCGCCTTAAGGTCCAGGAACACGACTATTGTCGGACGATTAAATGTGTGTCTGTGTTCCAGGACCTGTCGTAGTGTGAAGATGTGGTCTATACAACCACGTCCAGGTCGAAAACCAGATTGGTTTTCTCGAGTCTGCTCTTCACGGGCTCTAGTTAGACGTCTAAGTATAATCGAGGCTAACAATTTAGAAACTATATTAGTTAAACTTATTCCCCTGTGATTGTCACAAGAAGACTTCTGTCCTTTCTTGTAGATTGGGACAATTAGCGACTGAGACCAGTCAGATGGGATTACGTCCATTTCCCAGATTCTACCTAGGATCTCAGTCAGTCTAACCGTTAAAACTGGACCACCATCCCTAAACATCTCAGGGGCAAGCCTATCGGGACCTGCCGCCCTACCTCTCCTTAGATTTACTATAGCTTTCTCAACTTCATGTAAACTGGGAGGACTTAAATCGATTTGCCATTCAGGATGACTGGAGATCGTGGGCAACCGAAGAGTGGCTGAAGGCCAATTGAACTGATCCCTAAAGTGTTCTGCCCATCGGTCCAGCCTCCTAGATTGAGAATGGATAATAAGACCATCCTTTTCCGAGATAGTCTCACTCACATTCGGGTTCGTAGTACCGGTTTATTTAATAAGGCGGAAAAGTTGTCTAGTGTTGCCTATCGCCGCTGCCTTTTCCATCGCTTTTGCTTTCGCCACCCACCACTGTTCACGGTCGTTACGTAGGCTTTTTATAAGTCTGCGCTCTTCATCATGTTCAGAGTCAGGTGGGATGCGTTTTCGAGCATCCATCAGTTCGGTGGATGCGACTGAAATCCACTGCTTCATCCTAGCCTTGTGGTTTACCTTGCTAGCAGATACCATTGCCGTTTCCATAGCCTTCTTGATATGATTCCAACCTGCTTCAAGATGGGAATCACTTGCATGGCCGCCTAACTGTTTTTCTAGTTCCTCATGAAATATTTTCTTAGCTTGATTATCATCAAGTAAAGCCCTAAGAGGCTTCCTTACGGTGTCTTTCCTACGTCCAGCAAGCCTCAAACAAATACGTGCTCGCACTAGGGCATGATCTGAATCTAAACATGTGCCCCAGAACGAGCGACAGTCCTCTATCGAACCCCTCCATCGGTGGCTGATGGCGATATGATCTAGTTGTGTCCAACGTTGAGACGACTTCGGGGGTCGCCAGGTCAAAAGGTGTTTTTCCTTATGCTTAAAATTAGTGTTTGCTAGAAATAGTTGGTTATCTGAGCACAGTTGCAACAGACGGTCGCCATTGTCTGTTCTTTGAGCCGCGAGACCGTAACATCCACCTAGGTGTCTTTCATTTTCACTTAGTCTACCTACTTGTGCATTGAAGTCACCAGCCATTATAACTATATCAGAGCGCTTAACCTTTTGGAGGAGGTCCTAAAGCTTTCTGTAAAACTCATCTTTTACATCATCTGGGCTGCAGTCAGTGGGGGCGTATGCTGATATGACGAAGAGGCAACGGCGAGTGTCCCTATCTTTCCGAGTCCTTACTGTCCCGTTCAGTCGGACGGCGCACAAGCGACTATCTACAGGGATCCAGTCAAGGAGAGATTGTTCTGCCCTACGACTCAATGCTATACCTACACCGGCGAGGCCCCTAGAAGCAGCATCAGGGCTACCGGATACACGAAGGGTAAATCGAGCTGCTTCTTTATCTTGACATGGTGAGGTCAAATGAGTGATGCTACTCGGATCCTGTATGCGCGTTTCCGAGACGCAGCACACATCGATGGAACGAGATTCTAAAGTCCTAGCTAATGATGCCTGTTGCCCTATTTGACACAATGTCCGTACATTGAATGCTCCAACATGTAGTTTGGAACGGGGTTTAAGGAGACCAGGAACGACGTTCCGCAAACTCGCATCGTTTGCATTAGCTGTGCACTGTAATAAATGAATGTGAGAAGCGTTAGTTGTGGAGATAAGAGAGGTATTAGGGAAGGTAGGAAGGATTTGATTTTGAACAATTCGGTCTCGTGTGCTGTTGCGGGTATGAGGGCGGTTATCACTTCCTGGCTGTCCACACCGTGGAAGGTTGTTTCTGGACGAACCTGAAAAGGAAGATGGATTAGTGTTGGTGCGTGACCGCAGAGTCCAAGGGACAACTGCTTGAGGCCGGTCACGCACGGCCTTTTTACGAAACGTTGTTTGAGGATTAGCTCCGTTCTTAAAGGCCCTTAGTGGGCACCCGAACCCAAGGAGACGGAAATCCGTGAGTTAGGGGAGGTGTGACATTTTTAGGGCCGACCTTTTCTAACCCTTCCTTCCTTGTGAGAAGGCAGCATCGCTGAAGATGCTGGTTGTCCGAGGGAAACACCTTACTGCTGTCACACCCCTCCATCACAGTCAGCAGTACGACTTCGCCCTCAGACCTTGGGTAGCTGCTTTTAGTCTCATCGTTCTCCAATCGACCTGCCTGGCATGGTAGGACCTCCAGGAACATGTGTTCCAGCCAGTATAGCTCGGTTGGGTCATCACGATAGGCAAGCCCGACCACCACGTCAAGGTAGCAGCTTCGGTCGGGACCTGGACCTGCGTAATATCGCTAATTCTTAAAATTAATATAGGTTGTAATTTTGTCCTGTTTTTTTCCTGGACAAAATTACACCCTATATTAATTTTAAGAATTAGCGATATTACGCAACTGCTCAAATCAAAGTCATTGTAGTCAGATTTTAGCCTACTGCTTATGGATTGAAAGTTGAAAGTGTCAACTAATGAACCACTACTTTACTAGTGAATTTTCAATGTTAAAATCATTTACCCTGTCTTCATCAAAATAAGTGGAATAAACCTTGAAAATTCGAAAATTTCGGTAACTTTACTCCTTATTTCCATAAACTTAGTTAATGAAAAGTGATGTTAATGACTGATTTAAATTTCATTATATATATATTAGTTCTCTCTAAACTCATTTTATTTAAATTAATTCTATTTTTTAAAAATTATAGTTTGAAAGTGGTCTTGTCCAATTAATCTCCGATAATACGGATAACCGTGAAAATAATAATGATAATAATTCATATCAACAAAATGAATTATACTCGGATCAAAATTTTGTATTAACTGATACAACTATATCATGGATATTTAGTCAATTCAGTCTTGTACAAGGTGTGTATTTAATACATTTATGTCCAGTGAATCATCCAGCATGTTTATTAATAATTCATAATGTACTCTATCAATTATTCAATTTTATTAATCCATCATCAATTGGTGATACTGACCAACATTTATCAGCTAGATATGACCAAACTAATTCTACTGATTATAATTTCAGTAGTATAAAGTCAAGGTCTAATAATAAGTAAGTGACTTTCTTTCAGTTATTTATGAATTAATCTTTAACCCTCTTAAGATTTTTTGTGGATATCTGTTATTACAGATTGATAACTATTGGGATACAGTTGAAAACCAAGAAACGTGTAACAACTCTTTCGTCTTAGTGTGTGTAACTCCTCAGTCATGCCTCCTCATGGCTATATTTCAGTCTCAAATGAAAATGTCAACCACTAGCTTTTGATTAGCTGATCTAAAGTTTAACAGCTGATTACGAGACTTGATGTTTCTTGGTTTGATTCTTAAACGAGTTGTGGTTGCACGCTACTGGAATTTCTTAAACTTGATTTAAAAAGCTACCTGATGCTCTCTCTGCTTTACATCGGAATGGAATGTAATAAATCAAGGTGGATAACATAAGATATTGTAGATATGCATCGACTCAGTATATTTATACATTTAATGCACATGATACAACACCTACAGTAACTTACTTTTATCTATAATTTACGGTACAGTAATTACAAATTGGAAGAAATGAGTTATTTGTATATGTGTTGAAGACGTTAAATCCCCAGATAAATGTCTTAATTTTGGATTTTATTCATTTGCTGATCAGTCGACCTAGAGATCACATTTCCCACCGGGAAAATCCGTGGCTGTGATTGGTTGGTGTGCTATTTTAGCATGCTATTTTTGTGACTCTCCCAAGGACGTTTCTATGATGCATAAATAAACGCGATTTGTGTACTCGAATTCATTGTAAATTTTACGTACTCTAGAAAGGTGCTACTTTCCCCCCTCTGAAAATTCGGATTTGTATTTCTCCATTAAATCACCGTAAGAAAAAGTTAACAATCATAGGCATCAATAGGTTATCTTATGGCATGAACTGAGCCCAGTTAGGCAACCATGAAAAACCAGAAAGCTTTGGACAATCGTTTCGCCTTAGAAGGAAGCTCCACAGCAGTTCGCACCAAAGAATCAAGCCCCAAACTTCGGCGTCATATTTCTAATTAACAGACTGCTGATTAGCCATCCAATAATTTACATTTATAACTTTAATCATTTTGCCATATGGTTTAATCACTTGTCAACAACTGTTCAGTACTCTCTGGTTTTTAATGGTTATCTAATCAAGGTCAAATTTTGAAAATTGTACATACTTCACACCGATCACACCAAGATTTTCTTTCTTTTAATGTTAATGATGAAGATCATTTTCTCTTCTTACTATCATTATCATTACTAGTTTTATTTGTTGTTGAGAAAAGGATCAATCAAACGAATATAGTCACATTGTATCGATCCACCACTCTTCTTCCTTGTGAAACCTAAAGTTTTTTTAAGTAAATGCTAACACGTGATTAACAAATATGTTATAATTGTTGCTTTTGTATTTTGTATGTCTATTTCATTATATTCGACCTTCCTAAAAAAATAAAACATTCAGTAGCATAACAAAGTTGCTTCCTCCTCGAATCATGAATGAAAATTGTTTGTTTAACTGATGGTTTTGAATACACATTTCTAATAGTTCACTTTTAGTGTGTGTCTGTGTGTGCGTGCGTATGTGTATCTGTATACACCTGTTGTAAGAATTATCGTCTATTATCTCATAAGAATGAATATTTTTTTGTGATCCAGTGATTAATCAGCTGATTTTGTTATTATTACTTATTGATGTGTGTATCTATCTATTGTTTCGAATCAGTATATACATACATATACAATTGTCTAATTGTTTAGTAGTGATCACTATCATAATTTTCTAATCCTTTTTTAAATAATGATCAAATTCGACCAATCAGAATACTGCACTATGACCATTTATCTAAGTGATTCATTATGTTTCGTCCTAGTTGACACTCATCAAGAAGGCGTATCTGTCAACTACCACCAAGCACCTAACATATATAGCGATAGTTATTTTCTGAAGGTGATCTCCACTATGAATCGATATCAACCGAGTTCTGGTTTTATATTATTAAGTAATGTTTACACCCATAACTTCATTTACTGTAAACAGTACATTTTGTTTGAAAGTTAAATCTATGAAATGATTTGAAAAAATTGATAAGAAATTATTAACGATTGATGGTCACATGTCAGTGTTGAAAAAAAAACTTGTAGAATCGAAAAGACAAATTAGAAAATTGATATCCGTCATTGTTGTTTTTGATAATCTGACCGGACATTACTCTTAAAGCTATTCTCTATAACATACCTATTTAGAGTTACTTCTTTCTATACACACTCCATCACAACTATTGCTCTCCAGTTTGTAAGTTATGAATGCAAACGTGTCATCAATCGATAATCGATAGTTTTGTCAAATATAAAATTGTATCTATAACTCCTTATTTTCTAACATAGTTTATTGTATAATATACAAATGAACATTGGTAATTGTATGTGTTGTCGTTTATAGTTAATACGCTAGCCTGTAGATAAGTATCACTTATTATAAGAAGTGAATCTATCTTTAAAGTTATGTTATCCAACAGGGTCGGTTTGAATTTCATATTCAAGACAAAGATACTTTTCTGATTGTACCAGCTTATTAATAACATTAACGCTTCCAACAAACATCATTGGTAATGCATCATTTTTATGATTAAGAAAGGATGTTAATTTTTAAAAAAACAGTTTGTTGTTTACTTACTTACGCCTGTTACTCCTCTCTTTCAGCATAGGCTGCCGATCAAGGTTACTCGAGTAATCTCTGCTTTCGTTTATTGTTATATTAAAAATATATTCACGAAATTTATTTATTATATTTTGTTTATTTAAACACATAGAAATTGGTACAAAGCGGCACCTGAATATTTTTGTGCCACACAAATTACCGAGTTTGTTAGTGGGTGAGGATACTGCCCGGCTACCCAACCCCAACCACGTGGTTTTCATAAGGAGCCACCCCCCGAGCCTTTAACCCAAGATTAATTTAAATGTGTCCCATGGTAGTCGGTAACCAACAACAAGCCTCTACGCCATTCTTTCCATCAAGATCATGGAGTTTGTGTGCACCGTTGGTTTCAAAACGAGGGCTTTCCAATTCCCCTAGGTGGATGCTTCCTACCCACCACCTTAATTAAAACGCCGAACACTCACTTTTCATCCTCTCAATTACATGACCAAAACTAAGGATTTCATTAAAGATTATGTGTATATCGAATACAGGTTCATCCCCCAGTATATATATGTGTTTATATACATTTGTTGCATCATATTGTTTATGATGCAATTAGACAAACTATAGAGTTATTAAACTTAAATTTATTTTTCAATCGATTAAAAATTATATTTCATTCATAATTATTTATTTTATATCGACTATAAGAAATCAAATCATAATGTTTTCAATATTTTTAAACTTATTTGCCGGAGATTACTTTTTTTCAAAAAAAAGTTTGTGATATACACCGTCACTGTAATAAACCAATTAGTTTTATGGAAGTTGGACAGTGGTTTTTTGTATAAATTAACTTTCAACTATTTTCGGGTTATTTGTCATAGGTTTACATCTCAAAATCTAAATAGAATCTTTTTTATTGTAAATTATCATTTCGTTCGATTACTTAAAGTTTATTTCACTTATTTTCATCTGTCTTGCTCTCTCTCTCTCTCTCTTTAATGTTAACATTTCAATTTCAGTTTATTTACACCTGGATTCTTGTTGTTACGCTGTTTACCTGCTTCATTATTCATACCTACTGGACATTCATCGTATTTACCATTAAGTTCATCTTCACCATCTTCGTCATCATCATCGCCATCATCATCATTAAATAAACAAAACTATCAACAATCATTATTTCAATTAATTATACAAAAAATTCGATTAATTTCATCGTCAAACTATGCTGATCATTCAAATAAACCTTCATTTACACAGTGAGTTTTTATTTTTATTTTAACTGAAATAATTCTATAATTATTAGTAGACGACTACGGCAGTTATTAAACCTATATGTCTGAATTAATAATTATATATATATATATATATATATAGACTGATTTTTAATTATTTGTAATGGTTGATATTTTCAGATTGCCAATTAAAGGAAGAACAAGTGCATATTGCTTATTGCATTATTGATTTTCTATTCAAATTGTACGTAGCCCAACTTCTACAAGTGAACTTCAGCTGGTAAACTATCCGATTAAGTAAAAGCTATGGGACTGTTGAACTAAGACGTTATATGCGATTCATGAAGCCATTCATTGTTTCGCTGTACTGCATAAATAGATCCCAACTCTACTTGGTTGGTGTCCGCGTGATAACTACGATCAGTGGTTAGTGACTTTAAGTGACATCATGTAAAATCGTTTACAATCGTACTCATGAATAATTCTCTGTTATTACAACCCAGTTATTCCTAATGCTCAGTATTCTCGGACACCAATTCACTAGAGTCGTTCTCCCAAATCAGAACACGGTTGAACAGGAAATAGATTATAATCCAATAACAAAGTTAGATGAAAGACAGAAGTTCCAAAGGAAAAAGACGTTACTATATTTATAGTTTTCTTACATGAGAAGATTCTAGAATATTCTCCAAGTATCGACTAGCGCTGATTGGATAAGAATTAGCCAATCAGCGTGCAGCAACGCATTGCAAATACAACTATGAACTTTTTTCTGTATGTATCCGTATACTATTAGTAATACATTATTTATCATGAGTATGTTAATTACATAATAGACTAATTGACAAAAGTTTTTATACCTATTGATATTTAAAGCTAGTTTCTTCCATGATGACTTGAACCATGATGTACAGCCTAGTTAGTAATCTTCGTATTAGTGAATTTGTAATCGTGAATGAATTCATCATCCCAACGGTATATTCCAAAATACTTTATCTAGTAGTACACTATTGAATTATATAGTCCAAAAAATATGCTACAACTTAATCGACAGAACTCGATCAGTATTTTAAGAACTACCTAACAATAACATTCAATACTATTCAGTGATTAATTATTTATATGAAAAGTTCATTGTTACAGAGAGTCAGTTTCTATGTTAAAATGACTCAAACTTTGACACTAATTCTTGAAGTTTTAAATCCCATATATGGATTATCAGCCGTTTCTAAGCTTGTGTCATAAACCTTACTGATTGATTTATTAATCACTGTTAAACTTAGACACATCTACCGTTAACCACATAGCACACAATTATGTTTATTCTTAGGTTAACACATACTAAATTTAGTAATCATCGACAGGATATCATGAGTATTAATAAAATAGACGATAATATGTTAATTACTCAACTCAATACTGAGTAAATTAATGTATCTTTTGAAAAACGTTTATTGTTGAGTATTTTCCCTTTTTTGTATATATTTTTTTAGTGATTTCAACTGTCTTATTGAGTTCTTATGCCAACTCGATGTATTCTTATCACGTAGTCCATATTTAAATGTCAGTGAAATTAAATCCAATCCGAAGTTTTCACATATCTTAGATCCAGAATATCAACGGTCTGTGGTGAGTAACACTTCCATTGTAAATGATTTTGTTTTTTTAGCTAATGTAATAATCGATAAGCTATGCCTCGCCTCTAGTGCTCAGTGCTACACCAACGCCAGCAAGACTATAAGAAGATGCCGCAAGATCCCCAGATAAACGCCCTCGAAACAAGCTTCTCGAAGCGCCAGATGGGTAGCGAATGTGTACTATATAACTGGAGTATTGAATACAGGTCTCGGATAAACAGCATATATCTGTATTAAGACTTTCTAATGACATAGCCAACCTTATCTGTTGTCCGACGTAGATTAATGTGTGAACGTTTAGTATCGTACGTAGTTTCAGAAAAGCTGGTTCAGTGATAGCATACAAATTTCAACCAATCAGTGACTCCAGATTGTTTAGATAGGACAAGATTTCCACTATAACAAAGCTACTATATGAGCTGAAGAGTAAAGAATAACCAAAATAACAATCAAGGACTAAACAAGTGACGTAATTTAAAATAAAAACGAATGTTATCGAACTGTAAGTACGACTTGTGATATTATCGGTCGAAGCGAGCATAAAATTTTCTAGTTTTAGTCATCATCTAACTTATGAGTCGGCTGGGATACTCCCCAGCTGCCTAAACCGAAGCAGGTGGTTTTCTTAGTAAGCCATACCCCGAACTTTTGACTCATAAGTCTAATCCATGAGGTGGATTCTCTGTTTCCATCAGCCGGGTTAAAGTTCCGGACCCTGGCTTTTCGTTCTCTAAATTTCCTAAACAACACTTGTGTCACGAGAAGGCAGTGTGTAGAACTTCCTTGACAGTAGCTATTTACAGATAATCATATGAGAGCATTTTGGACCGGAGAGAGTAGACTCTGCACACTCTTGGTTGTACCAGGGCGTTTGAAGGTTAAAATGAAGGGTAATTACACTTGCAACATTGTAAATCATGCTTGACTATATTTGGCAAAAATGAAGTGACTTTCCTTCTAAAACTGCTTTAACTGAAAGAATTATTTCTGAATGTATTTTTCTTAACTAAACTCTTTGTCTCACCATTACTTCACTCGCATACACTCATTTCTGCTCACTTTTTTTTGTTATACTCACCGTTCTTTCTCTATCTCTTCACATATTCATTTTGATCGTGTGACGCATTTATATTTTGGTGCCTATTTGTACCAATATTTGTGTATTAAATAAATAAATAATCATGATTTAGTAACTTATCATTGATATTAAATGCAAAATACTAAAATTAGAGAAAATAATTAAACATAACAAGATAGTGAACCTGAACTCTATTCATTAGGCTAACTAATTTTAGATTAAGTTGACTGAAAATAATGAAGGTGAATATATTAATATCAATGCATCAATTTACTGATTGTTGACAAAATCTGAAGGTACAAATTAATCTTGTGTAGAGTTCATGAATTAATCGACATGAGAAATGTTAACCCTTAATATTACATTCGTAAATCACTAAACTGAATTACTGGTTAATAGCTCTATATGTATTTAATCACAGGCTTGTTAACCTTTGAATTTCTTTTTCTCATGGTTGAACTCACGAATTAATCCTAGCTAGACTACCATTAGAAACCTGGGAGCACCGAACGGTTGTCTCTTTCTAGTATGGTACTCTTCAGCAATGCGTATTTATGACCCCCCACACGCGAGAATCAAACCTAAGACCTTTGGTTCTGCTCACAGACGCTTAATTTTTCTAAGCTACCCATTCAGCATCAGTCAAATTGCGTAACTTCATAGGCCAAGTAATCCATCCACTTATTTGCTTCGTGCTATTCAATTTGTTTATTAGTTTCTTTTACACAATATTTCATTATGTTATCTTTGTGTTTTACGCAACTTATTCCATCATATAGATTGATATATTATTGTGTTATTTTGATTGGAGTTCATTGAATTCATTTATGCAAACAAGTCAATCGTTATGGAACACGTATCAATATATGCACAAGTCGAATATGAAAACTGCCAATGAGAATAATAATGTCAATCTATTGTCAACAGGTATAATATTATGTAATTTCCATTTATCAATGTGTGATGGTATTTTTTTTAATCAACTTAAACACTCGCTTTTTTTGTCTTCATGAAATTCTCCTATTCATTGTTTCTTACAGTAAACAAATGGTTGATTCATCTCATATTTCAATTATCGTTCATATTGTTTCAAATACTATTTATGAATTGATGATGTACCACAAGAAAAAGATGAAGTTTAGTAGAACTAAATATGTGATTTATTTAGTGTGGTATATTTCTATTAAGTCTGATCATACATCTCTTTGTTAAAAAGACTTATATAGATGAAAAATTAAGAATTTAACAAGACAATTGAAAAGGAAGAAGTAGCAAAGATAATGAACAAAATGATGTGAAACTCATCATACTGGTTAATAAAACAATTTTATGAGGATAAGGTTTATAGGGGATAAAGAACAAAATGTTTTAATTTTCTTATCACCAAGGCTTCAATTAGCCTTAGTATATACTCCGTTGAAAACTTTTGCACAAAATCACACAAAAATAAAAATGATTCAGATCACGCTCGTTAATTCGTTTACTGTCTCAGAAAACAGGTAATATGAAATCAATCCTATTAAATAGGCGGCCATTTACAAAACACTGTTTATATTGAACTGGGAACTAAGTAACTAAGATACTAGCCTGTCCATGTTAGGTTTACAAGAATGGATAGTTTGAATGAACCATCTTGTTTCTCTTCTACTTATGAATATGTCTAAGCAGGGAAGCTGTTTGCTCTTCTCCTCGTCACACAGTTTTCTTCTCGTCGAAATCGTTCAATTAAGCCGTACATTTGCATATATATATATATATATTGATTTTTATGCAGCCTTTTTTTGATCTGTGAAATCTCGGATCACTTCATGAAGTAATCTCTCTTTCTATAGCATCATACAATTTTATCAAACAACTATAAATATGAATGTAGAATATCAATAAATGGTTTTTATCGAAAGAAAATTTCAATGAGTACTTTGTTCTGTATCCCCCATAAAACTTATCCTCCTAATATGGCTTTATTAACCAGTATGATAAGTTTCACATTAATTTGTTCATCATCTTTATTACTTCCTACTTTCCGTCTGTCTAGTTAAATTCTTAATTTTTCGTCTATAAGTCTTTTTAACAAAGAGATGTACGATCAGATTGTTTGAAGTGTACTGTTCTAATTGATTACAACATGCAAATTTATCAAAGGCATTAATTAATTTTAGATAGTAATAAAATGATATAATTCATTATTATTATCATCATCATCATTTATCTTTTTAGTATCACCTGAATCGAGTGTTTTACGCTTACGAAACAATGAATCTCATCAACGTCGTATTGAATTGTCACGTTCATCATCATTTGAAGTGTTATTTTCATCATCATCTTTAATGACTCTACCATCATCAATTGATCAATTTCCAAAATATATAAAAGTAAGTTCTTCTTTAATATTATTGTTGTTGTCTGATGAAGACACCATCATCTCTGTTAACTAGGTGTAGGCTAGCGGGTGTATGAAGGATTCGATTGTGACCGATTCGGTCTCGTCTGCTGTTACGGGTATGAGAGCGGATATTACTTCCCGGCTGCCCATACCGTTGAAGGGTGTTTCTTGAGGAATCTGAAAAAGAAGTTAGATTATCGTTGGTCTTAGAGACCTGAAATCGTGACCACGGAACCCATGGGACAACTGCTTTAGGCCGGTCACTCACGGCCTTTTTATGAGAATTTTTTAAACTGGTTAACTCCGCTGTCGTTTAAAATACCTTACCATCAGAGACGGAAATCCGTGAGTTAGGGTGACGTGTGATATTTTTAGGGTCGACCTTTTCTAATATAATAATAAATCATAATAATTATAATAAATTTCATTGAAATAATAAACTGATGAATGTTAAACCACCTGTTACGCCTGCACGTAAACACGTCAACTTGATATACTTGAACTATTACGAGTTTACCTAGTTGGAAAACGAGAGCGAGGATTGAGGATCCGGTGACTGGACATGCTACTCAAATCCGATTATCCCAACCCACATATTTAGTAAAAAAATAGGAAGACATGACATGAAGTAGAACCTGTATTCTACAAGCATCCAGAAAGTACGAGGTCCGAATCCAGAAGAGAATCAGGATCCCCGACTAGGGATCCGGGTCCTGGTCGTGGTCATAAAACGTTACAGATAATTCGTACTTATACATTTTGGTTGAATAGGAAACAGCATCGAATTCTGTGACATTGACAGTTAAGACGACCAATAGGAAGTAACATTTGAAATGACATTGACAGTCCAGATGACCAATAAGAGAAAACATTGAAGTATTTGACTTTGACAGTTAAAACGACCATAATTTTGACCAATAATTCGTTTTGTCTTAATACAGAACTCATCTGCAGTGCGTATCCACGATCCTGTGAGTGGGAATCGAATTCAGGACTTTTGGTCTCACGTACGAGCGCTTAGCCTCTTTGTCACTAAGCTGGCGTCTAACACTGTTGGTATCTAACTTAAATCAATCCACGTTATTGCTCAACCATCATCCATTGTCTTCGGTAAATATCTGCTTCATATCCGATGCTTTGTATTAGGTTTTGTAGTTTACCGTTGGCTTCTCAAAGGGTAATCTTCTTTATGTGGTTACTGTTGAATCCGTTTGTCATTTCACTGGTTTCTTAAGTGCTAATTACGTTAATCACAGTCAAAATTTGCTTCTAACACAATTCAGTATAGTTTTACTATGACTTATAAGAAATCAAATAGAAGTTCTACTTTACAAACTCTTAGTTGACTGTGATTATCCAGCTTGAATGCGGTTTTCCCCATCGAAATGCAAAATGTTGCTTCAAGATTGGGTTTCATCGGCACCTAAACTAGTGATAGGGAGTGAAGTAGTCGAACGTGTAGACCGCTTCACTTATCATTGGAGTCTCATCAGTGCCGATGGCCTGGTGGCTGACGAAATCTCAGCACGGATACAGAAGGCTCGATTGGCTTTTGCCAATCTGCATCACTTATGGCGTAGGCGAGATATCCGTTTGCTGACTAAAGGACGAGTGTACTGTGCAGTGGTTCGCTCCGTCTTACTTTATGGCAGTGAAACATGGCCAGTGAGAGTAGAAGATATTCGTAGGTTACTGGTTTTCGATCATAGGTGTCTTCGAAGCATTGCTCGTATATCGTGGGACACCCGAGTGAGCAACGCTGTTATTAGGAATCGCGTGCTAGGTAAAAGTGGCAAATAAATAGATGAAGTGCTGAAACTTCATCATTTGAGGTGGTTGGGACATGTGTTGCGTATGCCCAACCTCGAATGCCTCGTCGAGCTTTGTTTTGTAGTGTAGGAGTAGGTTGGAAGAAAGTTAGGGGCGACCAAACCAAAACATGGCAGAAATCCACGAAGTCATTGACTAGTGGACTGAGCCATGTCGCTAATTGTCGACTACCTGGTTGGGGTCCGCGAGATGATAATAATCGATGGTTAGAGACCTTGAATGCCATGGCTCAAAATCGTTCGCAATAGCGCCGGTGCATTTATTCTCTGTGTTCTCTCAAATCCTAATCTTCTGGGTTCTTCAACAACTCTAGTTTTGACTTTTTAAACTTTTCTCACTGAATCATACTTCTTGAATAATATCTTCTGACCCTAACCTCTCCGATTACTTCTAATACCTTTACTACCTCTTCTACTATTGGATTTGAATTGAAAATTACATCTCTGTGCTGATGTGGTATGGCGACATGAACTGATGTACTTACGTACGAAGTTCTACGTTGTATCTGACTGACTGGCTGATTATCCAGCTTATCTGCATGCATGACTCCTAATGTTGAATTATAATATTCGTCCGAATCTTATAATTTTTTGTTCTATTTCGATCTGTTCGCTAGATCATGAGGTTTAATAATTACAGAAACATTTTGGAGATTATCGAGTCTCATAGGTGTTGTTACATCACGAATTGATTATTGATTTTGATTATAAGAAAAAATACATTGAAAACTATATGAAGATGCATAGCTGTTTACTCCTAATGTGGAACTCCTCAGCAGTACACATGTACTGACCCAATTCGACCGTCATCATACAAACTTCTCCTCCATGCCTAAATACATGTTTCCGTTTTCCAACTTCCGCAAGTGGATCATGCAGATTCATTGACCTACTTTAACTAATGAACGTCCATTTAACCCTTCATTTTTGTGAAAAGGCTTACCACTAAATAGAGGTGGAAAAATTGTGGCTGTATAAAAATATCTCTAAACAGAGAGCAAACCTTCCCGACCCTCGGTTGTACCAGACCATCTAGCCTACAGCGCACGCCCGACCGAAGCTGCTACCTTGACGTGGTGGTCGGGCTTGCCTATCGTGATGACCCAACCGAGCTATACTGGCTGGAACATATGTTCCTGCAGGTCCTACCATGCCAGGCAGGTCGATTGGAGAACGATGAGACTAAAAGCAGCTACCCAAGGTCTGAGGGCGAAGTCGTACTGCTGACTGCAGAGGGGTGTGACAGCAGTAAGGTGTTTCCCTCGGACAACCAGCATCTGCAGCGATGCTGCCTTCTCACAAGGAAGGAAGGGTTAGAAAAGGTCGGCCCTAAAAATGTCACACTCCCCCTAACTCACGGATTTCCGTCTCCTTGGGTAAGGGTGCCCGTTAAGGGCCTTTAAAAACGGAGCTAATCCTCAAAAAACGTTTCATAAAAAGGCCGTGCGTGACCGGCCTCAAGCAGTTGTCCCTTGGGCTCTGCGGTCACGCACCAACACTAATCTATCTTCCTTTTCAGGTCCCTCAAGAAACAACCTTCCACGGTGTGGGCAGCCGGGAAGTGACAACCGCCCTCATACCCGTACCAGCACGCGAGACCAAATTGGTCAAAATCAAATCCTTCCTACACCCCCTCATGTCTCTCTTATCTCTACGACTAACTGTACTCACACTCCCTTTTCTCACTGCACCGCTAATGCAGACGAAGCGAGATCACGAAAGGTCGTTCCTGGTCTCTTGAAACCCCGTTCTAGACTACATATTGGAGCTTTTAATGTACGGACATTGTGTCAAATAGGGCAACAGGCATCATTAGCTAGGACTTTAGAAACTCGTGCCATCGATGTATGCTGCGTCTCGGAAACGCGCATACAGGATCCTAGTAAAGTCATTAACCTGATTCCACCTTATCAAAACGAAGAAGCAGCTCGATTTACTCTTCGGGTATCCGGTAGCCCTGATGCTGCTTCCAGGGGTCTTGCTGGCGTAGGCATAGCGTTGAGTCCTAGGGCAGAATTATCTCTCCTAGACTGGATCCCAGTAGATAGTCGTTTGTGCGCTGTCCGACTAAACGGGACAGTAAGGACTCGGAAGGATAGGGACACTCGCCGTTGCCTCTTCGTCATATCTGCCTATGCCCCCACTGACTGCAGTGCAGACGAGGTTAAAGATGAGTTTTACAGAAAGCTTTCAGACCTCCTCCAAAAAGCTAAGCGCTCTGACATAGTAATAATGGCTGGTGACTTTAATGCTCAAGTAGGTAGACTAGGTGAAAAGGAAAGACATCTTGGTGGATGTTATGGTGTAGCGACTGAGAGAACAGACAATGGCGACCGTCTGTTGCAACTATGCTCAGATAACCGCCTATTCTTAGCGAACACCAACTTTAGGCATAAGGAAAAGCATCTGTTGACCTGGCGACCTCCAAAGTCGTCTCAACGTTGGACTCAACTAGATCACATCGCCATCAGCCACCGATGGAGGGGTTCGATAGAAGACTGTCGCTCGTTCTGGAGCACATGTTTGGATTCAGATCATGCTCTAGTGCGAGCTCGTATCTGTTTAAGGCTTACTGGACGTAGGAAAGACACCGTAAGAAAGCCTCTCAGGGTTTTACTTAATGATAATCAAACCAAGAAAATATTTCAGGAGCAACTAGAAAGAGAGTTAAGCAACCATGCAAGCGATTCCCATCCAGAAGCAGGTTGGTATGATATCAAAAAGGCTGTGGAAACAGCAGTGATATCTGCTAGGAAGGTAAACCATGAGGCTAGGGTGAAGCCGTGGATTTCAGTCGCATCCACCGAACTGATGGATGCTCGAAAACGCATCCCACCTGACTCTGAGCATGATGAAGAGCGTAGTCAGCTTAGGCGCAGACTTATAAAAAGTCTGCGTAACGACCGCGAACAGTGGTGGGTGGCGAAAGCAAAAGCGATGGAAAAGGCAGCGGCGATAGGCAACACTAGGCAACTTTTCCGCCTTATTAAAGAAACCGGTATTAAGAACCCGAATGTGAGTGAGACTATCTCGGAAAAGGATGGTCTTATTATCCATTCCCAATCCAGGAGACTGGATCGATGGGCAGAACACTTTAGGGATCAGTTCAACTGGCCACGAGCCACTCTTCGGTTACCCACGATCTCCAGTCATCCTGAATGGCAAATCGACGTAAATCCCCCTAGTCTTAATGACGTTGAGAAAGCGTTAGGAAATCTGAAACGAGGACGAGCTGCAGGTCCTGATAGACTGACCCCTGAGATATTTAAGGATGGTGGTCCAGTTTTAGCAGCTAGGTTGACTGAGATCTTAGGTAGAATCTGGGAACTGGACGTAATCCCATCCGACTGGTCTCAATCCTTGATTGTCCCAATCTATAAGAAAGGACAGAAGTCTTCTTGTGACAATCACAGGGGAATAAGTCTAACTAATATAGTATCTAAAATATTGGCCTCAATAATACTTCGACGCTTAACGAAAGCTCGTGAAGAGCAGACTCGAGAAAACCAGTCTGGTTTTCGACCTGGACGTGGCTGTATAGACCACATTTTCACACTACGACAGGTCCTGGAACATAGACATACATTTAGGCGTCCTACAATAGTTGTTTTCCTAGACCTTAAGGCGGCATTTGACTCTGTTGATCGTAAGGTTCTGTGGCAGTGTCTGTCATTGAAAGGTGTACCACAGAAGTACATTAACCTTATACAAGCTCTTTACTCGAACACCACTGGTCGGGTGAGGGCTTATGGCGAACTGTCACCGGAATTCTCTACATCAAGTGGTGTCCGTCAGGGATGCCCACTTTCTCCATTCTTGTTTAATTTTATCATAGACATGCTCCTAGAGTTAACATTATCCTCGTCTGAATTTTCAGGAGTAGACCTTCTACCAGGAGGCTCGCTTATTGACTTAGAATATGCCGATGACATTGTCCTACTTGGTGAAGACGCTGAAAAAATGCAGAGTCTTCTGACTACCCTAAGCAACAATGCAAGCATGTTCGGGATGCGGTTTTCCCCCTCGAAATGCAAAATGTTGCTTCAAGACTGGGCTGCATCGGCACCTGAACTAGTGATAGGGAGTGAAGTAGTCGAACGTGTAGACCGCTTCACTTATCTTGGGAGTCTCATCAGTGCCGATGGCCTGGTGACTGACGAAATCTCAGCACGGATACAGAAGGCTCGATTGGCTTTTGCCAACCTGCGTCACTTATGGCGTAGGCGAGATATCCGTTTGCTGACTAAAGGACGAGTGTACTGCGCAGTAGTTCGCTCCGTCTTACTTTATGGCTGTGAAACATGGCCAGTGAGAGTAGAAGATATTCGTAGGTTACTGGTTTTCGATCATAGGTGTCTTCGAAGCATTGCTCGTATATCGTGGGACACCCGAGTGAGCAACGCTGTTATTAGGAATCGGGTGCTAGGTAAGAATGGCAGATCAATCGATGAAGTATTGAAACTTCACCAGTTGAGGTGGTTGGGACATGTTTTGCGTATGCCCAACCACCGGCTGCCTCGTCGAGCCTTGTTTTGTAGTGTGGGAATAGGTTGGAAGAAAGCTAGGGGCGGCCAAACCAAAACATGGCAGAAATCCATGAAGTCATTGACTAGTGGACTGAGCCATGTCGGTAATTGTCGACTACCTGGTTGGGGTCCGCGAGATGATAATAATCGATGGTTAGAGACCTTGAATGACATGGCTCAGAATCGCTCGCAATGGCGCCGGTGCATTTATTCTCTGTGTTCTCTCAAATGCTAATCTTCTGGATTCTTCAACCCCTCTAGTTTCGACTCTCTAAACTTTTCTCACTGAATCATACTTCTTGAATAGTATCTTCTAATCCTAACCTCTCCGATTATTTCTAATTCCCTTACTACCTCTTCTACTATTGGATTTGAATTGACGATTACCTCTCTGTGCTGATGTGGTATGGCAACATGAACTGATGTACTTATGTACAAAGTTCTACGTTGCATCTGACTGACTGACTGTACACATGTACACCATCAATAAAACTCAAACCTATAACCTTCAACTTTACGAATAACATTAAAATAAATGTGGTTTAAATTTACTATTGACAACCTCCCTTGTATTAGAGATTTTGACAATATTATTCTTAGCATTTCTTAAACATGGTTTCCACACGATATAGATTGAATAAAAACATGATCTGCTCTACTACTTTTATATCAAATATATTACAAAATGCAGTTGTCTGTTTTAATGTTGTTATACTCATGTACAACAATTGTATAAGTTCTCTTTAAAATATCAATACAATTATTATTTATAACGATCATAATGTAATTACTTTTTTTTCCATTGAAATAAATTGTATCAGGATACAATTGATTCATTACGTCAACATGCTAAACAAATGTGTGATCGTATTGAATGTATTGAAAAGTTACAAAATGAATTTTGTACAAATATTCTTCCAAAATTATATATTCCAGTACGTGTCAAATTATTACAATATGTTGAATGTCAATCAAGTAAGTTCACTTTTCTTTTCGTTGATATATTGCTTGATATAATACGAATTCATGAAGGGGATTTTTTGGAGTTTGTAGCATTTTCTTAGTTGAAATCACAAACTGATCTTAGCTAAACCACTGGGTAGCTGTCATGGGACTCCTCGGCAGTGCACACAACTCGTCCGTCGTATATGAGAATAGAACTAAAGACCTTTGATCTCGCGTGTGAACACTTAACCTCTAGATCACAGAGTCGGCATCCAATAGTGTTATTCTCTAACTTCAATCAATCCATAATAATGTGCAACCGTCATCCATCGTCTACGTCGAATAACCGTCTCCTACTCCATACTGAGTCCCATACTCGAACCAAACGGCTGTGCAGTAAGTACTTCTAGGTTTCCAATGGTGTTCTAACTAATATCAGTTTGTGTTCTAAGCTATGAAAATAATACAAATTCATTAATTTTCTAATAAATATGCTTTGCATACGATATTTATTATGTCTGCTTAAATCTCTACTATTAATTTGACTTTCAATAAACAGTTATTACTTTTGTTACCACTTTATCTGAGTATAATTCCACTGTTGTCGTTGTGATGTAATGTTGCAAATGTATAAGTTTGTTAAATCTGTTTGTTATATTTCAAATATTATTATTCTTTGAATTTCTTTGTGTTATAATGAATTATTTATTCAAAACAAGCAAGTTCAGATGTGAATAAATTTCGATATCATCCTCTACTTCACTGTATGATGTTCATCTTGCTAACTAAAGTTGAAAATGTCGATTGCTGAAATCCAAATCAATAATTTAAAAGTATTGATACTCACAGATTTTTATGTAGCATATTACTCTATTCAGATACTTCACCTAAGCCTCGATGCTGTCAACTATTGATCATTGCTAGTTGGAAATAGTTGGTAAGTAACAATAGGCCCAGGGTTCATCATAGTTGACACTTTTCAACAAGGAAGACCTAAAATATCAAAGGAATTGAGTAAGTGCCAACTAGCACGAAACCTAGGTTATTCAGGATTACCTGCTTACTATCTCCCACAGCCTAACATCCAAATATAGTACATGCGATATTGAATCATTTAAATAAGTCGTCTCATTATAACTTGTTTGACAGAATTCATTTGGCGCCAAAATATTACAATGACTGCTATTCAATGATCAATCAGTATTAGTGTCAATCCCTAGAAACGAATCCTTTAGTTTGTTATATTTCTCTGTCACTATAGGATTTTTTCGGAATCTAATTTACATATTATTATCCTTCATTTTGATCTCTGCTTACGACTTTAGTGCTACCTTCTTGGATGCCTGGTCATCAAACATGTTCCGGTGGGAGTAATATTTCATGTGAATATCAAACAGATAAACGAAATGAGGAGATTGATGATTTGTATAAAGTGAATAGATGTGATATTGATAAATTAATTCAGGCAGCACTAGATGTGTCACGAATTGCCGCCTGTGATGTTCTAAACTACAATGATTTTTCGTCATCATCAACATCCACCTCATCAGAAGATGGTAAACATTCAAATTTTGGAGTAAATTGGGCACGTACTGTACTTCAGTTGCAGAATGCAGTCAGGTTAGTAGTAGAGGAAGTATTAGTAATTCATTATTTTTAGTGTATATATTTTGTAAGTAACTTGAATGATTTGATGAAATAAAACTTTTATCTTTTAGTGTAAGGCGAATCTGAAACACCGAGATAAAACATAACTTTCTTTTACATTGTGATAGGGATTTTGGTCTACTTTTACCGAATATCCATCATAGCTAAGGATGTCATCTAGGGTGGGCTTTTTTCTTCCCTATATGTGACTCGTCATTTGAATGTACCTGCTTCTTGGTGTTGATTCTCAGTTTCACTATTATTTCATACCTCAACTCATTTTTTTGATAGCCATATTTCTTATATTAAACTTCTGATGTTATCATTGTTCGTGCATCAATCATGTATTCATAATCATCTTTTCAATTACTTCTCGCTGTATGTAGGTATAGCGTGATCAACTGGAATGATGCAGATTTATTGTATATAGTTGTAAAATAGCTGGTACAAACCGCTTCTCATTATCTATCTAAGCTTACTACATCATCATCATTATTATTATTGCATAATCTGTTCTTGTATTTTGTTTCATCTGAATTCAGTTACTTGATACATAAATCACGTTTAGTCACCTCGGAATCAAAATGTCCAAGTACAAATGCTACACAGATTCCAACCGAATCTTTATCAGCAGCATCATCATCATCATTAAATCCTTCTTGTGCTCCGACAACAACAACTACTACTACTACTATTACTACTACCGCTACTAATGCTTCTAACAATAATCAATTAAATATAGTACAAAATATTGGATTACAATGTTTTCAACAACTTTGTCAAAATTTGTCCGGTCCTTTGCTTCAATGTCCATTAACTAAACAAGTACTATCAAATTGTGTTAGTGAACTTGGTAAGACATCAATTGTGTCACATTTTATAATATTATTCATTTTATTTCTTTCTGTTTATTCTATGCTTATTGTACCTTTTATTTAAGATGAATAATTTCAACTTGTGTGTACTGAAGTGTTCTTACAAGCCATTCAGATTAAAGGATTCGATTTTTAATTCTTTGCACGAAATTCAAATATTACTTATAATAAACAAGAGAAACACCTTTGTATACTCCTCAAAACGTTTAAAGTAATAACAAAAATTAAGTGACAGTATTAAACGTATAAAATGATCAATGCCTTTTCTTCAAGTTATATTTAACACATAAATCGATACTATCCCTGACCTCATTTATACAGAAGAAACAAGCTTCAACCTAGTGGCACTATATTTTACCTAAACACCCTACAGCATCTCCAGCATTTTTGTGTGAACTCCATTCACCTATATGGCTGCAGATCATTTTTAAGTCATCATGAAATCCCTAATCCTAAACTAGTATCCCTAACCCTAACCGAGAACAATATATGGGCTTAAAAACCACTGGAGTTTTTGTAAAGGACCTTAGTTGGTTCATTTATCTGTTAACACTTTCTGTAATATGATTGTTTTCTTTCACACAAACTTTCCATGTAAAAAAGCTGTCTTTTGATCGATCAAGAACTAGCTGAAAGTTAGTCGTGATTTTTTAGTCTCCTCTATAAACTATAAACTTACACTTACAATTTGCTGTACTAAATACATGGATATAAAACACCACAGTTCACTATGTAATCTTAATGTTTTTTCAATATTACAGGTTGTAATCAACTGGTGATAACTTTTAACAAAAGGTAGAATAAATTTACGTAACCTCGACTCAATTCTTTGTCTATCTTAAACCTGATTATTTTTATTTATCTCAATATTGAACAAAATCGTAATGAATTTTTAAACAAAAATGTTTGGTTTTCAATTTCGACATTATCAAATTTGTAGAAAGCTAAACTATCAGTATACTTTGACACACTTCCCATCCTTAGTTATCCCTTTTTACAGTCGTCCGATCTGAAATTGATCGACAAGCGAACCCCACCCATATACCTCCTCTAAATGAAAAAGAACCAAAAATGAGAAATAAGCTTTACAGCAATTACCGTAATTCGAGAATGTGGTCTTGGAAAAAATTCAGCAACCTCATTTAAGTTATATCTAACTAGTTCAGTGTATTCTTTTCAATTAATTAATGATTCTCTTTTTTGATTTTTTTTTTCTATAATTTTTCATAGCAAGTGAATTTTTAACAAATTTATCAACTCAATATCAATTATTATTAGATATGTTAGTTGCATTACCACATTTATCAAATTTATTAGCATCAACATTTATACCGCCAAATCCATCATCATCCTTATTATGCATGAAGAATAAGCATGAACATCAACAACAACAACATCCATTAGTGTCAATTTATCAACGTTTAATGGATATCAGATTTCGATGTAATGCCCAGACGGCTTTGTGTATTTTAGAGAAAGTAAGTTTTTATTTAAAAATTGATTTTATTATTATTATTATTGAAGAAGAAGAAGATGACGTTGTACAATATTTTTTTATCCATAATATTACACTGCAACGAGACTAAAAATCATTGAACAAGTTTATACTACTACCAATGAATTTGATACTTACTACACAAAGACTAAATCCACATTCAACCAGATATACAATTCACGACTAAAAATAGAAGAGTGAGAGTAAGTGATAGACAATATATAACTTCAAACAATTACCAAGCAGTCACATTCAGTGAGTCCAAGAGTAGAAATCAATACGAGTAAATGAAAGCACATATTTACTACATTTTTGAAACCATGAATCGATCAATCTTAGACCATCATTGATCAAGTTAAACATTAACACCGTTAGATGCCGGCTCACTGGTCCAGAGGTTAGGCGTTCGCGCAGAATACCGAAGGTCCTGGGTTCAAATCCTGTGAGGTTTATGAGTCGTGGATGCGCTCTGCTGATGAGTCCCATACCAGGACGAAACGGCCATCCAGTGCTTCCAGGTTTCTGATAGTGGTCTAACAATGATTGATTGATGATGTCAAAAATGTGTAACGTAACATTCTTCACAACCCCGTAATACATATTTAATAGTCAATAGGCTAGGTGCCTATTTGTCTACGCTCGATGACCAGACACATTTTCCTTTCACTCATTATGATATTGCAGATTATAGCTGGCAGACAGTAGTTACATGCTAATTAGTAAAACTTCTCAATATACAGCATTTGTTAGAATAACTTTTTGGTGTGTAGCACCTCACATATTGACATCGAATTATTGAAACGGTTAGTCGATACAGCTAGTCAAATAACTATATGTGTAGGTGGCAAGTAATGCCTAAGCGTACATGCGCATACAAGCTCAACAATGATAAAAGTACAAGATATATGTGAGGTGCTACAGGTGAACACGATATTCTTAAACTATTGGATTGTACTTTAATCAAAATTAATTATTTTAGAAATGAATTTCTTAGTTCTTGAGAGAAAAAATGTGTTGTGCGCTCTTTCTCTCTCTAAACAATATAGAACCAGTTTGAGATTGATTAGTTTTCGACAAATCAAATAATTTCATTTCATCATTTACCTAGTTTTTGTGAAGCTATAGTAACTCACATACATTTGAGTATGAATAAATTTAATTTGATTTACTCATTTAACAGACAGTCAATTCGTATAGCAACGACACATTTGTACCATTGTGCTTTTATTGTTGAGTTTGTTTGAGCAGGTGTGATTGAGCAGTGCTTACCACCTACACACATATACATTCTACTCACTTTACTGTAAGCCACTTAAATAATCCTATGATTCATTCATTTTCTTATATATATATATATATATATATATATATATATATATATATATATAAGTACATTTCAATCTTGTTCACTGACTCGCTCACTCTTCAGCACTTGAATATCATTTTCACTTCGTATACCTCAAGTTTTGTGATCTGTTTTTTGTGTGATAATAAACATCATCCACGCTTCGTATTCGCCTTCTGATTTATACGCCATTGGGCGTAATCTAGTAACGGTTATCATCAGGTCGAGTAGTATACGAAGTTTAGAAATTATATCGAATACCGACCGCTACAGAATTGATGAGACCTCATCCACGACAACGTATTTTCTTCTAATCCTAATATCTAGTGTTATTTTCATATACACTAAACTAACTAATCATTTCTAATGCTGATCATTTGTTCATAATTTCCTAGATGTCTACTCATTTTCCTCATAGAGTGTATCTACATCCATGATGTAGAATTTTTCTTTAAATTTCATTTTTCCTAGAAAAAAAAACTTCTACTTTCATTCATTTCATGTTGACCATTTAAAAATATCGTTTTGATATCTTTTTTGATAGAAATGATCACTTCAACAAATCATATTCATAATAAAGAATTCATAAATAAATATAGTGTTTCATGATATATTTATAGTCTGTTTACTTGTGTCCAATTTGTTTTCATTAAAAAAAAAACCATTCAATAAATGTTTTTTATGATGTATTTATATTTGTAGATTAACTTTAAAGCTTGGTTTTCGATTGAAATTAAACATTTTAATCAAGAACAATGGAATCAACTAATACTTGCTTTATTCACATGTATTCAAGAGACAACCAATGTTGATACACCGGAAATAAATACTACTTGTTCCGAAGAGAATGATGATTTACACAAGGTGTGTAGAATTCAGCGTTTCAAGGATAACTTTTTAACTGTTCAATATATTAAATTAGTCTTGTAATCATGTAAAATCCTCGCGAAAAACCTGCATAACATCTAGCCTAGCCGAATACACAGTCTAGTCCAGATATCAAAACAAATACGTAAGCTTGTCCAGCCAGAATACGGAATATATCATTGAAAATTGAGACATGATTCAGATTGATAGATGTTCACTCGTAATCGCTCAGACTGTAGCTTCACACCATTGATCTTTCGACTAGGTGCATATACCAATTATTATCATAAAGTTCTTCTCGTACTAAACAAGATTATCATAGAGACAGTCAGATTGTACCTCACTGATGTGAGTTGGGTAGGGTTTACTACACAAGCCGAAACTCATGCCCTTCATATGCACAAGCACACACAAACGACTACCCATTTCACTCTCTCTAAGTAATCTAGGTTACAATCGAGCGGTGGAATGGATTGATCTCAGTTGATTTCCCTAATTGGCTGATGAACTTTTAACCCAATGACCCCCTCAGCGCCACGACAAGAACTCAGGTCGGATTTATCGCTGGCAATTCTTGCTTCAAACTTCAATACCACCTAGTTTCCCAAACCCAAATACTTAAGCCCAGTACCAGAATCTGATACTTGCCGGTCTAGAACCGATCGTAATAATCGCTACATTACCGCAAAGTACTGATATTACTTTCGGAACTAGTCTATACTACTGAGTAGTGTAGCTAAACAGCTATCCGATCCATTCTTTAGACAAATCAAATACATGAATGTATATATGACCACTTGTTTTTTCTTATCAATGAGTTATTTGGAAGAGTTTTTGACACAGACTTACATTAACTGTAAAATTACCGACAATCAAGAAGCGCTAGTGAGTTGTTCAGTGTTAGTTTTAGTTTTCTCAATAGTATTTACCCACTACCTCCTTAAATTTATAGTATACAGTCCATGACCTTTAGGTCTCGCTGTAAACATATTACCCTTAGACTACTCAGATAGAATTAAGTGGTTCACATCTTCAATAACCATGTGCTCATTAATGATCCATTTCACGATAAGTTAATGAAGTTCGGGAGAGGTGTCGAAACCGATGTAGTTCATCAAGTGTCATGAATCCTCTTGTATAATAATCATATGATATCGTAAATTGATTAAAGTCATAGACAGGAGCTACTAGACTTCAGAACAAGGGACTAGATGTAAAACTCTCATTTCGAAGTTTGAAGATCCTCAGTTACATCGTTAATGGAGTCGCGGGTATCTTACATTAGTCACATTGATATAAAATAACAGTCCAATCCCTCTCTGTTTTCAATGGATTCCTAATTGATCTCATTTCTTGGCAAAAACATCATTCATATTGAACTAATCTTTGAACACCGTCTAATTTTGCTTTGATTATCTATTCCTTTTATTCTCTAGCTTTGTATAGTACATTTGAAAGCACTGTTAACAAATCACTTTCCAGATTTGTTTGTCACAGCATTGGAATTATTGTTACAAAGTAAGTAAATGTGAAATTTCTTTTGACAACAAAATCTGACACTTTCATAGATCCACCAATTTCGAACCTATTACCAATTACTTTAATTTGATATAGGGTAACTAGTTGGTCAGCCAAAATCAGCCTAGATCTTGGCACGAATATACATCATTCGACACCAACACAACAAGATAAAATTAACAAATTGAATGACGGTTGAGTAAAAACAATTACATCAGCAGTAGCGAGAGAGACCACATATTGTACAATATATCTTGAAAAGAAGTGATCTGTTTGAGGAATAAATAGTATGGAATAATTTTGAAACAAAAGATATAGAGGTAGACAAAGAGCAAATGCATCTACTATAAATCAATCGATCCTGTGTCATATTACTTATTTCCCCTAACCTCTGATCGCGGTTATCGCTCAATCTCCAACCAGGTATTCCATAGCTACCAACTTGGTTCAGCTTAACAGTCCATGGTTTCATTGATTGATACCATGTTTGCGTTTGACCACTCCTACCGGGTGGTAGGGGCAAAATGTTTGAGGGTCTGAAAACAAAAATATTTCTACCATAGATTAAAACTTTTATATTCTTGACTATGTACTTGGCTGAACTTAAAACCTTTCGATCTGGTTGCAACTAAGCCTAAAATGAACAGTCTTGTACTCATTTAATTTTTTAGTTTAACTCATATATATTTTGAAGCAGAACCATCCTGTTGCAATTAGTAATACTCTCCTGCTAAAATTTCAGATTCTAATGAATGAACAGTTATCTGTATCCTCACCTTACTATGGCTTCTCTACTTAAATAGTTCACATAATTACAAGTGAAATAGTCATCATTTTTCTTAATGCTTAGCAGCGTTGATATCAGACTTCAAGTGTCACTCAATACATGTAGTTCAATTATTTTGACTTGTTTTTTAGCACACAGTAAAAAAACACAACTGTTTTCTTTTCGGATTGTACTTATTGTTGGGGACGTTAGATCCCCAGAACTCACTTGATAAAGGTCCTAACTTAGGATTCTATGTTTTCGAGCATGGGCTGGTCAGTTGAACTTGAGATTACATTTCCAACCCGGAAAATCCTTGACTGTTATTGGTTGATGTATTATTTTAGTACGCTATTTTTGTGGCTCTCCCAAGGACGTTTCTATCACGTATAAATAAACTCGATTTGTGTGTTTGTCAACCTCATATTTTCTGGGTGCTTGTAGAATACACTTTCTACGCCATATCAAGACTTCTTCCTATAGTTAGCAGGGTCGGGAACCAATCGAATCAGAATAGCCTATCGTGTCACTGGATCATTTGTCTTCGCTCTCGTTTACCGAGTAAGATGAACTCGTAATAGTTTCAAGCATAACAATTGACGAGCATATCATTTATACAAACTTATATCTCAAATCTCAACTGTGCCTTTATAACAATGATATGTAACTGCTTAAACGCATGGTATAAACATTATACACATGTATATGTATATACTCAACTTTTCATTTATTGAAATTTAAAGTTTAACACCTCGATAGCCAATATGCATAGAAATTATTTTGTATTTGATAAAAATCTACATTATTCGTAACTAACTTTTTTTTTAACAATCTATCAGTGTTTACTGATTAAAATGATCAAATGTAATTTTTAATGCTATTGACATTCATAATTCACAAAAAGTGTATTATATAGTTCATTGGTTAACTGCTAACTAATTTTCACAATTTTTGTTCAAATAATAGATCTTAGTAATCCGAAATATCTTGACATATGGATATTGTTTGAGGAGTTATTGATCGCTGATATAAATAATCATTCGGAGTCTTCTACAAGTTTATCAGTTGAACAAGTAAATGTTACCTATATTTTATTTTATAATTGATATTAATTTAGGTTGAATATTATTTTATTACTAATTTGATTATTATTTCATGTACATCAGTTTGTTTGAATTCTGTTTGTGATAGCTTGTCAGAGTCAGATGCAACGTAGAACTTCGTACGTAAGTACATCAGTTCATGTTGCCATACCACATCAGCACAGAGATGTAATTTTCAATTCAAATCCAATAGTAGAAGAGGTAGTAAAGGTATTAGAAGTAATCGGAGAGGTTAAGATTAGAAGATATTATTCAAGAAGTATGATTCAGTGAGAAAAGTTTAGGAAGTTAAAACTAGAGGTGTTGAAGAACCCAGAAGATTAGGATTTGAGAGAACACAAAGAATAAATGCACTGGCGCCATTGCGAACGATTTTAAGCCATGTCATTCCTGTGATAGCTTGTCTGTTATGTGTACGTGTTGCTTTTGTTCTATCCTTGGTACAATGATTTACACTAGTAAATGGGAACCACTACGATTCCTGTTATAAATACAAGATATCTTATGAGAGAATGAATGGTATAAATGAAGATTTATTGATTGTTGAGAAACACCTTCCTAAAACAAGTTCTAATCATATTATCATTAAACTAAATACACTCGTTAATAAACTGATTTTATGCATTTGATGATTAACTGATAAACTTCGTATAAATAAAAAAAGTTCATTCGGTTTACTACTATTAAACAAATAAGTAACTCATGCAGAATGGTACAAAGAATCTGACTGTCACATGAGGCAAAAGTTCACATCTGTTATACTGACTTAATTGGTACAAACTTGAAATAATGTTACACTGAGAAATGAAGTCAACATTCACGAAAATATGAATTCTACTTCGTATCCCAACTTATCATTTCGATATTATCCTATTGTATGTGTATAATTTATAGAAATACTCTAACCCTAAAGATCGAGTTATGTGTTAAAATCTTTAAAGATAAAGTTCATCCTTACAGTATTATTAATCTTAAAATAACTATGGCTTATAAATTTACTATCTGTACCTACCCCATCCCACATTAAAATATACAATTTTTCACGCCTCCTTTTGTACTACTCAATAATATTAATAATTTTAAAAATAGTATTATTATTTTCATCAATTAAAGTTAATGAGATTAGTGTTTTCACACATTGAAACCGCCAATCAATCATTGTTATTGTTTTAAAATGAATTATAAATCCAATAATTGGTACAGTAATTACCTTTCTAAATAATCATGAGCTCTGCTAATCACTTGGTTACAATTATATGACATAATTGCTTTCATAGTGTGCGTTATGCTTGTATACATCTGGGTGGAGAGAAACAAACTATGCACCTAAACATATTGTGATAGGGATTTCAATCAAAATTTTAAAATAAAAAAATAAACAATTACTATTTTCCCTAATAGTTATGATTACATATTCTAGATTTGGTGTTAAGGCTAGAAAAGAAAAAAACCACAATTGTTTTAATATTATTGGCCATTGTACAAATCTTGTACAAGTTGGTTTCAAATTCAGCAGTCATAAGATTACATGTGAATGCCCCCCTAACTGTCAATTGAAATTATGTAATTCATTTAAAAGAAAAGAGTAACAAATACCTTTTATGGAAATAACAAATAAATTGTTAAATGTTTGACTCTTGAAATATACATTTAGTAGAAAACATACAATTTCAACATGAATAAAGAACTAGAAATAGGAATATGCAGTTATAGTTAAATTGGATGAAAGCATCATGTTACTAACATGTGAATGTGTTAACTATTCGCATTAACTATTAGTAACAATCATTCTACAAGAATAAACATAATTCTATACATCATCGTGTATATATGGTTAAGTATATATTGAAATATATTATTCTATTGGATTTCGTCATGATGTGTAGTATTCCGGATCTCTTCGCGATGTGTGCTAACTCTCCTCCTAAAACTGTTTACTTAAGAGAAAAGACTAGTGAAGCAGGAAATCTAGTTGGTTACCGGAAAAATATGTACATATACTCGTGAATGTATATATGTATTCCACCTCTTTAGAAAAGAAAGCTATTTTTCTTGACCAATGATATGTATTCATCCTTTTAGAACATTTTTTATTGGTCATCAAATGGTCTACTCATTTGGCCACTTCTGACTAGACAAATATGACATTCATGTAACTACTCAGTGATTAGCTTTATAGTCAGGTATATTATCATGGAATAGTTTAATTCTATTCGAAGCTGTTATATTTAAAAATTACTTGATACTAGCTCTTTTATAATGAATAATTACTATATTACATTTCTAGCATCAATAAAAACTGTCTAATTGGGTTAAGGAAGTGTATATGCTAATATATAAAGTAGGAATCGGTCATTCCACAATAATAGTGCTATGCTTGTGCCAGTTAATATACGACTAGATATCAGAGAACGAAACATAAACCAGTGACGCAACAAGAGGACAGCTTATGTATTCTCTGCTGCTCAGTCTAACTAACTAGACCAAGAAGTCCAAGGTTAGTAGGAAGATTGTGTAATCCACAGGCAGCCTCAAGAGAATAAATTCGCAAGCAACTAATTCAAGCGTAATTTACACAGTACAAAAAGTGTCCGTGGGAGAGTTTTTTAATGACACACTAAATGCAAAAACTAATCAATGGAGTTTAAGGTCCATTCAAATAGGAAACACGAGCTGAAGATTATAAGAGGCGCTTTTGGCGCGAAAATATGAAATTTGAATTTCCAAAAACAAAATGTAAAATTAAGAAGATTACCAAGCAATTTCTGTGGATCTAGCATCCTCAACTAATAGACATAATCATAAATCGAAGCACTGGTTATCATCATTTTTGAATTCATTCTATCGATCTTATCACAATCCTCTTATTAATCACAAATTTAATGTACGTAGCTTCGAATGTGACAAAATGTATGTGAATTGTCTAGTAATGATATCATCCACCTGTCTAAATTAAACTACAAAGAGCATATTTAAGCTTACAATTTTGTTGATTATAACCCAATTTCCTAAACTGCTGAACTACTGTCATGTGGCTATTGATTTTCACTGTATATTTTTTTAAAAAAGGCAATCACTTCAGCGTTTAATTCAAAATTAAACTTAATAAGATTTATTTTTTTCTTTCTTGTCATTTTGTTACACCATATTATTCATGCTTACCTATTTTCATTTGTTCTCATTCCACTTTATAGTTGATTCAATTACTGAATCATGTACACAGGCGATTGACTTCCACTATAAATTCTTCACCAATGACAACTTTATCAATGACATTACATGATACACAAAATGTTTTAATTGATGAATGTTATTCAATGTTAAAGAATAATTCATGTAAAACTATACAAATGATTATTCACTTTTTAATGATATTAGCTTGTCAATTATGTGAAAAAATTGGTTGTTGCATATTAAATAATCATTTAACTATACAAAATGGTAAGTGGATACTGTATCTTCCATTCAGCATTTCATTAGAAATAATAATACTAATAATCAGTTGGAAAAAAAATGTTATCAGTTGAAGATCAGATAATGAACATTCATTAGGGAATACCTTTTGACAAACTTACATGGATACATTAAATAATGTGTTTCTTTTAGAATAACCAATAAAAAATATTACTACTAATATATCGTTTTTACAATAAATTCATTTATCGATTTGTTAATTCCTTAACACATGTATAAACGAACAATAGTGTTGTCAATAAGATCGTCATCAGGTTTCACTCTAATATATACATGTTAAACCAATGAAGGTAATTTGTGAGTTATTAATAATAGAGTCCCATGATGTGCTTACATCAACTGGATCAAATACATCATGACTGTACGGTCTGCTCAAAGTTTGTCAGTCGGGTCTTCATCTGTGCCCAGTTTCAGATATGTACAACTCTCGTTGTCACAAAATTGTGAAATGACTAGTGCGAATGTGAGAGCCTTTGTACAAATCATTCGTAAAAAGGAGTGTAATAGATGTTTTTGACTTTATCTCCAAAGTGGAAAATATCAATGTTAGCACGAAAAATATGACCTAGCTAGATGTCGTATGTTTATTTACCAACGTGCTGCTGCTAGTCCAGACGACTGAGTTTATATTTAAGAAAATATCAAAAAACCAAATCAACATTGGCTTCCCTGAGGATAGTCTGAAAGAATCGTTGTTAAGATGTATGCCGAACATCTATTTCGTCTTCAGCAATACTTATAAAAAAATTGATGGGATAGCTGTGGACACACCTCCATGCCCAACTGTAGCTGATTTCTTTCTGGCATAGTTGGAAAACGAACCGCATAATGAGACTAATAATCATTATATCCATACTGCCGCTACGATGACTACACACTCGTTATCGCAGATCAGTATACCAATAATGAATAACTCCTACCACAGTTCAAAAGTGTACACATGGCGATCACTTTCACAGGTGAGGACGAGCGTGCCAAAAAAAACTGAATTTCTTTGACATCTAACTAAGTAGACAAAGCAACGGCTCATAAATTAGAAGAGTGTATAGAAAGAGCCCCTCTGCTTGCCAGTACACTCACATTTATAATTTACACCTATCCGCTGCAAAAGGCATTTGATTAGATGTCTCATAATTAGAGAGAAAGTGCTCTAATCAGTGTATCAGATAAAGGAAGAGCTGCAATTTATTTACAATTCACTGACCAAGATCAGCTTATCCCAGTGGTTTCCAGAAGAAGCACAAGTAAACAGAGAAAAATTGGTTGAATTTGCAAGTGACGGCCAGATGCTCCATGAACTGATGTGTTATAGAGGTTCTGGTGCTTTCTATCAACCTAGTTCTGCACAAGTTATGCTCGTTCTAGTTACTGTAGTCAGTGAAGATTAACAATTTCACTAACTAATTTTTATCACTGTTTACTTAATATTGGATATTGTCTTCAAGAATATTACCCACTTTATGGTTCCACTATTTGCTAGAAGCACTGTGATCAAATATCCGCTGATATTTTCCACTCTGACATAGTAAAACATGAGATAGTACTTTGAACCATAGCGGGTATTTCGTTTTTAGTAAAATAAACCTGAATAATTATCGTTATCTTGAACTCTGTTCTCTTTTTTCATTTTGTCAACAATAGGTCAGTCAATTATTATGGACATGTTAGTACAAGTTTTTGGTTGCATTTTACAAAAATGTATTACATTGTATTATAATGATAAAGGGAATAATTTGATTAGACCATCGAGTACAACTTCATCATCATCATCATCTGCAAGCCTACACCCATCATATGAATTATCATCATCATCGTTTATTCTGTATGTGGAATGTTGTTTAAAAGGATTCTCTGAATGTCTTAATTCTGCCATTAAAGGTAAGTGGACGTGATAAACTGTAACTTTCTCTCTTTCTCTCTCTGTCTGTCTCTTTCTCTGTCTGTCTCTCTCTCTCTCTCTGTGTGTATATGTGACACTAAACATCCAACCATTGGAATACAATCTCAAATAATGTAAGAGATTTTTACAGTGTACTTGACAAATTTATAACATTATGACTATAGATTATATTCTATTTTGACCACTTTCGACCATGAGAACACATCTGATAATGCTTCATTTTGAGACTACTAACGAAATGGGTTTTACGTAACGAGTTTGGTTTCGATAAGCTCTAATAGTGTAAAGTATTTTCTTCAGTTTAGGCGCATGGTTAATATTATGACTGTGATATTTGTGTATTCATCCTTTTTTTCCCGTTCTATCCTTATTCATAATTTCAATTTTAAATTGTATTTAATCTTGTTACATTTCTGTTTGATTTTATTTCTTTGCTTTTTCCTATTGAAATTTAGTTTGCCCAACTAATATGAATCCAATTTGGTCAAATCAATTAATCAATTTATTTTTGATATGGTTCAATTCAACAACATGCCTATTAAATAATTTCAATGATAATTTAAAACTTTCACCAATTACCTTAACGTCAACTTCGACTACTACTACTACAACACCAACAACTACTACTACTACTACTGCTAATATTCGTAATCAAGATCTGCATAAAATCCCATTACCGCTTATTATTTATTCATCATTGATCAATGAAAAAAATAAACAGGCTAATCATGATAATAATGATGAAAAAAAGGAGAAAATAGCTCAGACCAATGAATTCATACTATCGAAATGGTGTCTATCCGTAACTTCATGCGTATGGAAACCAGATTTAGACTGTTTAGATTCAATGATCATGGTAAGTTTTGTTAATATAATCTCGTATTGATTTACAATAACAAATGCCAGAATAGATGATTGTCTCTCATCGATAGAGTAATAGTAATTTAAAGTGTATACTATTATGTCATGCCTACATTGGCTTATGGTGACTTTTGGACAAATCAATTAATTTGTTCTCGAGTCATTAGTTACATGTTGTCTGACCTTGTGTGGTGCTCGTCAATTGATGTGCTTGAAACTATTACGAGTAATATGAACTTTCCACTAAAACATTTTTGTATATGAATGAATATTTTATGCGATACGATTTTAAATAGAACGTAACAGTTTTAAATGTATACACTATAATTTCCTTTCTCTTTCAATATCAAGTTTTTAATTTTATTCCATACGTTTTTTTTCCCGGCATGTTTTTTAAAAATTTTCGTTAAAGTAGTTTTTTGTTACATGTATTCTGATATTTCAAAGGTAATTTTTATTACGAACTAATGTTGCTATAATTCTCTCTTTATTACAAACCAAGCTATTCTTAATGCTTAGTATTCTTAGACACTAATTCACTCGAGACGTTCTCTCAAATCAGAACACGGTTGAACAGGAAACAGATTATATTCCAATAACAAAGTTAGATGGAAGACAGAAGGTCCAAAGGAAAAAGACGTTAGTATACTTATAGTTTTTTACATGAGAAGATTCTAGAATGTTCTCCAGTATCGACTAGCGCTGATTGGATACGAAAGAGCCAATCAGCATGCAACCACGCAATCGTGTATGGAACATGCTTTAATCTATGTTCCGCCAACAAATGTTGAGTTCGAAAACTACTCAATCATTAATGAAAACATTGAATGAATAGCTGTTTATTCTTAGTTTTAAACTTCACGATAATGTGAACACTGACAATCTTACTGGATTTAAACTAAATTAAAATTAAGATTTCATGATTAGTATAACAATATTTTTTCCACTGAAATGAATATGAATGACAGTTGAAAATACAAATCGGTTTATTTCAGTTGAGTAGTTTATAAAGGTACTATGCTTACGTTAGAATTTTTTAATGGTTCCGCATTGAATTGTTTGCTTAGTCGGGAAAATTCGATTGTTCTGGACTACAGTATAGAACAACTATCTAATTCTACCTGAGTTTTTAGTTAGTCAATCAACTACACTGTAGAACTTAGTACTTACTTGCATCAGTTCAAGTTGCCATACCTCATTAGCACAGAGAAATGGAATGGTCAATTCAAATCCCATAATGGTACAGGTTGTAGCGGTATTAGCAGTAATGGAAAAAAATTATGTATCGAGGATATCATTCGAGAAGTATAAATGAGTGAAATAAATTTTTAAAAATTCACTGATCAGGGATTTCATAGATTTGTGTCACATTTTAGTTTGGACCTGAGATTTATTAGATAATCTGTTGAAGATTTTTATATCCTTCCAACAAGCTGTTCCATATATCTTTATGAAACACTGTACACATTAAGAAATTAATACATTTTTTTTCAAAATAAGTACATTTTCGTTAATTATTCTTAATCATATCTGCTTTTGTGTTGAATGGTATGTACATAGGAACAAATATCATTGCAGTGATATAATTTAACTGAATAATTTAACTTATGGACTCTCAATCAATCAACAGCAACATAGAACTTCGTACGTACGTACATCAGTTCAGGTCGATATACCACATTAGCACAGAGATGCAATTGTCAATTCAAATCCAATAGTAGTAGAGGTAGTATAAGTATGAGCAGCAATTTGAAATTTCAGGGTTCGACGATATTATTCAACAAGTGGAATCTAGTGAAATAAACTTAAAAAGAAAAAGATAAAGGTGATGAGGAATTTAGAAGACTAGCATTTGGGAGAACATAGAGAATGAATGCACCTGCGTCATTGCAAACGGTTTTGAGCCATGTCATTCAGGGTCTCTAATCATCGATTACTATCATCTCGCCGGACCCAACCAGGTAGTCGACACCTACCAACATGACAACTATTGTCTTCTTGCCACCTTAAGGCGATATGATTCGTGCACTAAATACACACATGGTTAACTAACTTTCTATTGTATTTATATCAATAGATTATTGATTATTCTCAATAAAACATTCAGACAAATGTCACAAATGTCAGCCTATTTAAGTTATAACATAAAGAAATGAAATATTGTTTACTACACCTGGTTATTCTTGTTCCTGATGTCTATTTATCGTGAAAGTTTCGCGTTGTCAATTTAGTTTTCGTGTCATATCACTTCAATGTGATATAGATAGACTAATAACACAACATATGCATACCTACATGTTTTAATGATTATTTTGAAAAGACTAGTAAATAACTACTTGCGTATATAATTTAAATCACATCATTACGTTCCATTTATGCTCTTACTCTCTTCTCTTTTTTCAGCTTCTATTGAATTGTGATAATTTTGTAAATCATCAATTCATTAAAGAATTGGCATCGAATTTGCTTGTTCACCTGTTATCCAATGTTCAATGGTGGTTTGATCGGACTAATTCAATTAATAATCAATCAATTAATGTACCAGAACAACGTCCTTGGTTTATAAGTCAATCGAATGGATTACAATTGAAAAATTCTATGGTTAAAATGGATATAGCATATGTTAATTCATTAACATATTTAATTGTATTAATTGCTTCCAGCTTACAAACAAATGATATCAGTAAAGATGTAGGTTGTTCTGTCCATGTTAATAAATTTGTTTAATTGCAACGTTTTAATGAAATATTCTCATAAAAACTTATTTTGTAGTTTATACCACAAATTGACTTCAATTAGATAACCATTAAAAAAACAGGAAGTAATGTACAGTCGTTTCATCCTCGTTTAGGATTCCATGTATACTTGGTTTGGAATGAGGGTTTTCCAACTCCTCTTGGCGGATGCTTTGTACTTGCCAACCTGGTTTAAGCCCCGGTTGGACATTCGCTTTTCATCCTCTAAATTTTATGAACACCCGGTCACGAGAAGGCAGTGAGTAGGACTATACACGCGTGGCCTTTCTAGCGGGAGAGGGAACTCTCCTCATTCCTGGCCGTAACAAAGTATTTGGGGACTTAGTTCATAGCATCAGTCCATAAAATCATTTACTGATGGTCCGAACTATCCCGATAGATTCAAGCTAACTAATTAGGGTCCAAGCGACTATGAATGACATCCATTCGAATTGCTTACAAGCATCCAGTTAGTACGAAGTCCGAGTCCAGAAGAGAATCAGGATCCCGGACTAGGGATCCGGGTCATAAAATGTCACAGATAATTCGTATTTATTCAGTTAGATCGAATAGGAAACAACATTGAAGTCTGTGACATTGACCGCTAGGACAACCAATAGGAAACAACATTTGAAATGACATTGATAGGCCGACCAATAGGAATCGACCAATAGAATTAGACTTACAAATAATTCTCTTAGGACATTGGATGAATATCCTAACAGATTGAATAATATTCAATAGAAATTCCCTTCTAAACATAATTAAATGATTGCATCAACTTACATATGCTGTATATGTGAAACATTTTTATTCATAACGTATAATTTACCGATGCTGTATTTTTAGTTTTTATATTTAAAGAATATGTACATTTTAATTTGATTGATTCACTAAGTATATTTTATTGATTGTTTTTATAATTAGACAAAAATTCAATTGAAAATGATTATGGAAAATATTCAAAGTTCATTAGATTTATCAATAGTTAGTGAGTCGTGTTATTTATTCATTCTATCATATTTAACTGAACAAAATCTACCAACTTATTATGTTCTTATGCCACCGACAACAATGGAAGGACGTTTATTTGGGTAAGTGTTATTTGTATTCAAATTAATCCAAATTATTCTTATACAAAATTGACTTCATTGATTGTAGCAATCAATGCTCAATCATTTCTGAAGTGAATATTGAATTCATTTGAATAAAATGGATTTTCTTCGGGGGGGTGGTTGGCAAAGTAAACTGTTTGAAATGGACTGACACGTGAAATTACGATTCAATTCGCAAAGTGGCTGCTTATATTGTAGGGGGGCGATTCTGAAACGTCCTCTGAAATAGTCTGTAGACTCCCGAAACACCTAAAAAATATAAATGCCACGATTCTGGTTGGAATTTCTAGCCATACCGCTATTTATGTTTAGTATGGTCCCCGTAACTCTATAAATACCTTCAGATTGAAGGTCAACAGCAACCAATCAAGACTGAGGTTAACAGAACAAGCTACTGGTCAAACTTGGAGAAATTCGGATGCTTCACTTTTATCTGAAGTTGGTACTGATGATGTTATTCAAAAGAACAATGAAAGCTTCACAACCAAAACATCCAGCTGATAGAACGAAACACCATGACAATACCCTCATTTTTCTGTACATGACAGATACAGATACAACGCGGAACTTCGTATGTAAATACATCAGTTCAGGTCGCCATACCACATCAGCACAAAGATACAACTGTCAGTTCAAATCCAAGAGTGATAGCGATAGTAGAAGTATTAGCAGTAATGGAGAAGATTAGGGAGCAAAGATATGATTCGATAAGTTTAATTCAGTGATGTAAATTTAGAAGGGGAAAGATGGAGATGATGAGGAATTCAGAAGGTTAGAATTAAAAAGTACATAAAGAGTGGATGCACCTGCGCCATTGCAAACGGTTCTGATCCATGTCATTCAAGGTCTCTAACCATTGGTGACTTTCGTCTCGCGGACCCCGACCAGATAGTCTACACCTACCAACATGACTCAGTCCGGTTGTCAGTGACTTCAAGGATTTGTGCCATTTTTTGGTTTGGCCGCCCCTAGCTTTCTCCGAACCTACTCAGACAGACAGATACAACACAGAACTTCGTAAGTAAGTACATCAGTTCAGGTTGCCATACCACATTAGCACAGAGACGCAACTCTCAGTTCAAATCCAAGTACATGAACTAACCTTGGAGTAAAACGTTCTCTTCCTGACTTCGTGATTTTTTTATTGTGCTCAAATTTCTGCATAAATTGAGGTTGTGATTATGAGAAGCAACTGATAAATCAGATCTTGTATTCCTTTATTTAGACTTATCAACAGCTATTACTAAAACAATAATCCAAATCTTCTTAATCTAAATTCACATTGTTTTCTCTTTGATTTCTTTTCTCTTTTTTTTTCTGAATATAAAATTGATCCAACGAATTAGTTTATTAGCAGCAGCTGGTGGTATGATTTCTAAATCTGCCGATTTATTCACTTGTACACCGGATTCCTCGTTTACAATTCAATCAACATCAACTGGACTTTATCCAAATATTCATAAGTTATCATCATCAAGTGATCATGTTATTGATTATAAATTATCCAATTATTCAACTATGTCATTACATATGAAACGTTTAGCTTATTTACGTAAAGTGATTAGTCTTCTAGATTATTCACTATTATATGATAATCCTTTACCATTAAACGAAATCAATGAATTAATTATGACAGATAATTTTTTGAATTCATTGATTAAAACTCATAATCCATCCTCATCATCATCAGCAGCAGCAGCTGCTGCTGCAGCATCTTCGTCATCATCAACATCAGGAATAATTGATTCGTCAATATTTTCAATGGTTTGGAATAGAATGTCATCAGTCATGTCTAATTTAACTAATAATTTAAACTTTCATACCAATACGACAACAGTGACATCATCAACATCAACAACAACAATAATAACAAATGATAATTCATTATTTATTCAATCTCAATTAAATTCTTCTCAATTGATTAAAATTTTAACATGGTTACGTATATGTAATTTATTATCTGAATTAGAATCTGTCTCAGGTCAGATTGGATGGAGTAAGTTAAATTATGATAATCATGATAGAGTTTTGAAGATTGTGTTGAGTTAGACATTAACACTGTTGAATGCCTGTCTAGAGGTTAAGCGTTCGCGCGCTATACTAAGAGTATTGAGTTCGATTTCTGTGAGTCGGAGGAGTCGTGGATGAGTATGATGATGGGGAGTCCCATACCAACACGAAACGGCCGTCCAGTGCATCCAAGTTTCTAATGGTGATCTAACGTGGATCAATTCGTGGGGTCTGGGACAATGGGATTAGAATAGCCTATCGTGTCATTGCATCATTTATCTGCGCTCCATTTACCGAGTAAGGTGAACTCGTAATAGTTTCAAGCATATCAGTTGACGAGACCATGATTAAAATGAACTACAGTTATCCTGTTGTTAATAATCGTGATTTAATTTCAATTAATCGTAGCTGTTACATGGGCATCATCATGTGTGTAGATCACCACGATATGACAGTCTTACTGTGTAAACTTAATAGTTTATTGGTTAATGCATTAGGTGTTTGGAATGAAAGGTACTGAGTTCTAGTATCAGTGTGACTCTCAACATACATACGGCAGGTACATCCAGTTAACGTGTCAGAAATTGAACGAAATGTGCATCTTGTATTCCATTGCTAGTCACTGTTTAACTTCAAAAATCACCAAATAACTGTTTCATCTTTGTTTTTGCATTAGTACTTAGTCTTGACTTTGTAGGAGATTGAATTCAGGACCTCTGGAACCCATGACAAACACAATATCATTCTCTCACTTAATCAGGACCTACCAGTTTGTATATTGAATTTCAGATAATTTACAATACAGTGTAGCTGTCATCTTAAACAATTTCATTTCTTCCTGACTTGATTCATAAGTTCTTGTCAGAATCTAAAGACATTAAATCCATATCGAAGTTATCTAATAGTGTCTATTCGTGATTATTATTATTATAGTTATTAAACTGAGATTTCTCTACCGGAACAAAATAGCTGATCAATGCTCATATAATTCTATCAGTTCTCCATTATGTGAATGAGTTTGCATTTTAAGCTATCACATATTTATTTGCATTTAAGTAGACTTAGAAAGCTTAAAATAAGTAGCTTTCTAGTCAGTATGTAAACCCCCACACACAATATTTGACACTTGAACTACATAAGTAAAAATAGAAAGAATAAATTAGTGAATTTTACTTTATAAGCTTCATAGCAACATGATTATAGTTGTATTGTCAGAGGTGGATAGTGGCTATTAGTAGAATCCAGCACACATGTTTCGTCCTATCTGGAACTCGTCAGCCGGATATGTCTGAATTTCAGAGTTGATTTTCACTCCGGCACTTGAACGCAGTACTGTCCACTTGAAACGCCATCACGTTATCCAGTTAGCCACTGACTTGGGCAACAGGGTGAAGATTAATTCATTTTTTATTGATTGTATGAATTTTCTAATTGATGTGTCTAGTTGGCAATAACCTTATTATCCATGGGAACAGATTTTACACGAAAATTTGATCATAAATTACTTTTTTTACTTAAATGTTTACGAAAATATTTCTATAAACACATTGTTTAGTTGGAAATAATTTTCGATCACCTTACATTTCAACAAAGTGCACACGATGTCAAATTATTTAGATTAATGGCCACATTCTGCAACATGATTGATAGAATTGGATCAGCCACTAAGAAGGACTTGACATATGTTGGAATGATTCCCAGAAAGCGCAATGAAGCTTACGGAAGCTCTCAAGAAGATGAAGAAATTCTATTCGATTACAACTTGATAGAATGTTTACAATATCAACGTGGCATACGGTGATTGGATATTTGTGTAACATTGGTTTTTATCGACTGAGCGTATATATAATGATGTTTCCACTGTATATGAGGAACTATCAATACACTCAGTTTTCCTGTACATTTCGATATTTACTGAAGTAAAAGTTTCATCTGTTTTCTTTTGGGTTTTGCGTTCTAGGGTTCGTTTCTACTGGTTCCAATACCAATGATTATTATATTTTGTGTGAACTGTAATCTATAAGCCTGACTTAACAATACACATGATATTGATCATTTATTTGAACAATTTTTACTCATTTCATTTATTTTCATTTCTATTATTCCGTATTATAAATTTTTTTGTATTTGTTTTTTCCTTTAATAATTATTTAGAAAAATCAACTTTACAAGAATTTCGACAAATTGTTGAATTATGCAATGAAATAATTTTATTAGTGAATTATTCAAATTCACGTATGGAATGTTTAGCTAAATTAAAAAATTTCAATAATCCCAATCTACGCCATGATAATAGTAATAAAAAGAATAAACAAAATAATTTCATTGATACAACAATATCAGATTGTTTTATTCATGCAATTATTTTTTGGCTTTTAAATGATTTAGCTATTAATACACAAATTAATAATAATAATCATAATAATAATAATAAAGATTCGGCTCATCTCACAAATTCACCATTGAACATTGATCGCATTGTTACTATAATGCCACATTCAATAGATGCACGTTTATCGAAACCATTAATTTATAGTGTATTATCAATGAATTCATCAATATTTAATCAAGAGATATCTAGTCGATTTGTACAATTATTGAATGCAACAATTTGGTCTGTTATTGACTATGGTAATGATTCTTTTTTTTCCAATAGATTTTGTACAAAAAAAAACCAACAGATTGTATTAAATTTTAAATTTTTATATGTTATATAGGCTAATGATGAGCTGAATGGAGTACTATTACTTGTCTCTAATAGAGTATAGACCACCGACCAGCATTCTCCAACCAACTCTGTCTTAGGCCTTTTTTTCCAGTTCTACCCAATTGCTATTCATTCTTTTCATTTCTGTCTTCAATTCTCAGCGGAATGTCTTCCTTTCAGTAGTAGTAGTAGTAGTAGTAGCTTAAAAAAGATTGTCTTGTTGTTCAAAGTACACAAATCACTGAGTTCGAAGCTCAATGTGAACATCATCACTGGGATACGATAGATAAATCCACCTGGCGAGTCGAATGTAGAATGAAGCACACACACCATTCTGGATTCGATATTGATGTTTATTGTTTTGACGGCTTTTGTATTTTATCTAGTTAATAATTTGCCCCCAATTCTTTATGAACAGATTAATTGCTGATTCACTTAAGTTAACTAATTGACAGTAGCTTTTTTTATATTTTAAATGTTGATGAAAATATGAATCACCATCTTGTTGTCAACACTATACTTTTCATTATCAATAAAGATAAAATTATAAACTATGCTATAGAGCATGATATTGAAGCTTTCAGTAAATAAACTATCTGTATAAATCAAGAATATTTCGTTCAATCAAAAGTAATGATATCAATCTAGTTTATTGTCATGATGTTGTTTGTGTTACCTAGTACAACCATGAAACGTGTCACGCATAAATTCGACTTGCCATTGAACTACGACCTTGAGAGAAAAGAGAAAATAAACTATCCTATGTGATTTATTGATTAGGATACAAAATGAGTTGATGACTTCACAAGAACACGATGCCCAATGTATCCTATTCAACTCTCTCGAAAAAATCTATCAATAAATATATGACTCTTAGGATCATGACGTAGGTAGGATATAACAATATAAATGAATTTCAATACAAGAGACAATGAAAAAATTAGAATAATTTGAAATAGAAGAAAAAGTATAACAATAATTTATGATTTTTGCATTATAGAATTATGGAGATCGTTGTTTTACATTGAAATCATCAATGAATAGTTGTTAGACCACCATTAGAAACTTAAAGGCACTAAAGGGCCTCTTCACCCTGGTATAGGACTCATCAGCAGTGCGCATCCATAACTCCTGCCACTCTCTGGTTTCGAACCCAAGACATTTGGTCTTGCGCATGAACGCTTAACCTCTAGACCACCGAGACGGCATCCATAATCCCATGATGCAAAAATATGCTCACTAGTGACTGGCTTTATGAAGATATTCTTGGATTTTTAATTAGATGTGACCAGTGGAGTTCAACCATGTCGAGTGTAGGCAGCAATTATCGAAGACATCCGATGAGGTTGTGCGGAATCTTTAGATTGATCACAGTTAGACACTAACACCGTTGAGTGCCGACCCACTGGTCTAGAGGGTTGGACCAAGGGCCCTGGGTTTAAGTACTGCGAGTAACAGGAGTCGTGGATGAGTGCTGCTGATGAGTCCCGTACCAGGACAAAAAGGCCGTTCAGTGCTTCCCTTTTTTATTCCTTGCAACGCATGGTATCAATTTTGTGTGTATGTGTTTGATTTCACTACTCATTTTATTCTCTCTGTTTTTTTTTCTTTCCAACTGATATTTAGCTCCTAATGAAATGTCATCCATTGATCGTTTTACTGGTATTTATGAAATTTATTCAACTATTTATATTGTACAAAATAAAATAGATTTTCTACATTCTAATTTATACACATCTATGTGTATAAAAAATAATTTCTATTTACCATTATTCTTTTTAATACTATGTCGATTAAATTATTTTCACCAATCTAAACTCATTAATGATGAATATAATATCATTATTGCTGATAGTATGCATTGGTTACATTCAATAGGAATAAAGTAAGTTTATTCATCTAGTTAGTTATTTTGTATTAATTTTTTTTGTAATTTTGAGAACTGTGAAAGTAAATTCAATATTCAATTTGTTTTACTTGATATTGAATGAGATTGTAGTGATTAGTTAGTTGTTTTAAAAAAAAAGAAAGTGACGTTAGTCATTGAATTAATTAATTAATACGTTACAATTTCTATCGGTGATCGATTGAATTTTAAATTTCAATAGTTGATTGATTATGATTAGTTATCATTATACCCAAAAATCTAACTGAAATCGAATAAAATATACGGTGTCTTGGTGAATGAAATATATCATCACTATTAGTCAGTGAATATCTGTAATCTAACCTATATTACATCGAAACATTACATCAAGCATACTGTGTTGTGTCGGAAGATCTTGCTTTTTCCCTTGTGTATGTTGAGACCTACTGCTGCTGAGGCTGCTGCTACAATAGCCGTCTTCTCCCGCATTTATTGTTGCGTGTGGGATAGAAGGGCCAAATCATCTACGAAATCTATCTTCATCCCAGCTGTCCACTGAATCCTGTGCGTTTCCTCAGATGTTGACGTTTTTTTAATCCAGTCGACTACGAGGAGAAAGAGAATGGGGGAGAGTGAGCAGCGTTGATAGCAATCAACAAGGGAAATCTTGATTATCGATTTGGTGTACTGTTTACGGCAATCGGTTACTGTTAATTAGTCATATGCAACTTAGAACTTGAAAATTATGTAGATCGCTTCAAATTTTCATCTCTTATTAGCACAGCAAGATAATAACAATATTAAGGCTATCCTCAGAACAGCAGAAGCAATTATATCATCATTAATAATAAAAAAATTTAAGCTGTAGAAAATGTAAATTACAAGCAAATTTAGGGATTCAAGATGGAGTGAATGCACCATGGCCATTTGGGGTGGTCCTGGGCCATATTACCCAGTCTCTAATCATCTTAGGGATCCAAACCCAGATATCTACACCTACCCATATGGCTAAGTCATGTATTCACTGACTCCATGGACTGATCCCACATTCCGGTTTGACTACACCTTTCTCTCAGTGAATTCCTACACTAGCTAACATCGATTGTCTAGGTAGACAGTGACTGAAGATAGTTAACACATGTACCAACCATCTAAGATTGTTATTATCAACCGGTTTACCATCTCTACCCAGTACCCTACGTCTGACTTAAATACTGCGTACTCGATGATCCCAAAATACATAAACAATGATTCGAATAAACAATTATACACAAACATACAGAACGACTATTAAAAACATTCAAGAAATATGACTATAATAATATAATGAGTTAAATAGAACATACTCTCAAACCTGAGTATATGATCGTGTACTCGGTCATTGGGTTACATCCCTCTTAGAATGATTAATGCATAACTCAATTTGATTTTAGATATTATCAAATGAAAGTATCGATTGTATAACTGACGTCAAATTTTCATCTGTTTCTATTCTCCTCTTGTTTTCTAAATACACAGCTATATGAATGGGATTGATGATCGATCATTTCAATTGAATGAATGGATTTTATTCTTAAATTTAATAATTCAATTAATATCTACATCAAAAGTAAACTTGCTCAATAATGAACCATGTTGTTCCAACCATCCAGCATGGTGTTCACAACATACAAATAAACAGGATATTCTTAACAATGATAATAATTGTTCAGCAGATTTTCATTGTAAACGATTATTTGAAATTTTAAATGAACTTAAAAATAATATTATGATGAGATTGAAAAAGAAGAAAAGAATAAATATTTCTGAAGAGCAATTTATACAACTTAAAAAGTAAGTTATATATTGTTCTTTTTAATTTATACTACTAGCTTATACAAAAGTAGTTTGATAAAAAACACAAAACTTCTCACTGCTCAATTAGAAATGTGTATTTTGTTTGTTTATTTTATTTATTTCAGACTATGCAGTTTTATCGAATGTTTATGTTGTATTCTTGAAACATGGATGATTAATACTCATCCGACTGGATTGTTGAATTTAGAACGGTTAAGTTGTTTAACTTCATCAACTACATCTGTTGACAGCGGTAAAACTGAAGATATTACAAACATGGAAGAAGGTAATTTACAAGAATTGAAACAGGATAATTTTGTTACTCAAGATCAATCAATGGATGCTACGAATTCATCAGCTTCTATAATTTCATCACTTCTCATAAGATTACAATCGTTCACATTAATTGAAGCTTATAAATATTTATGCCTACAATTTTGGAATGATCTTAAACCATATGTTAAACAAATTTTACAAAATTGTTCAACTACAACACAAATATTATCATTAAAAATACCATGACCGACATTACTTACCATAATTATTATTATTATTGTTATTATTATTATTACTGATGCTCTTATTTTTTCTATTTGTTTCAAATCACATGAATTGTTTCCCCTCATTTATGTATATATATATATATATATATATATATATATATATATATATATATATATATATATATATATATATATATATATATATATATATTATATATATATACTCAATAATAAGAATATACCAAATATCATTTCACTTATTTTTCTATGTACAATCAATCAGATTATAATTTTCTATGCAAATTTGAAAAAAAATATTAAAACTACAGTAAACCCAGTGTACACACATTCAATGATAACTTTAAATTTCCCATTGAAAATTCATTCTGTTCTAGCATATCTAGATAACTTCAGTTATGAACAACTACCATTATAGAGTGTTCATTATCTCCCTTTCTCTCTCTCTCTTTTCGTCTGCCAAGCATTGTTATTGAAGCTTTAATCATCTAAAAATTTATATTTAATCAGTAATGAGGAATAATATGTGAATTGCATGAATAATAATAAAAGTTGTTAAATGATATGATCCCCTCGTAACAATGGAATAGTTCCTTTTTGTATGTGTATTATTTGTATTGCTGATTGGAATTTGTAAACATGATGTAATATATTTGTAATCATTTACTTATGTAATGATATTAATATTGTTATGCATGAATTTACTTTTCTTGTTATTGTACAATTTCATTGTATATTTACTTTTCGTTGTGATTCTTTGAAACGGATCTTTTTTTCTTATGACATTCTTTCATTTACGCCTTACAAAGTTCATCCTGACAATTTTTCCTATTTTTAATCTAATTATTTTGTTCAAACTAACTTAATGATCATTTGTTTAATTATTTGATTTCAAAGGTGCAGATATAAATATATATATATATATATATATATATATATATATATATATATACATAAATATTTATATATTTTTCATTGTTCAAAGATGGTTCGAATAGTTTAGAGATTGATGTTTAATGATCTGATATTCTTTAAAAGAAATCTTTACATTGTAGGTTGTATTCATTAGGAGTTTATCTCAATTGAAATATCAAAGGAAATCAGGAGAAACAGGATAGTTATTTCGTTTTATTTTTTTTATCAATCATTAAAAATACGCATTCACGCTTCCTATTTAGTATCCAACTCAGAGCCTTTGTGTCTTATGGCGTACACTTAATAACTAATTCAATTCACTGTGTAGCGTGATAAGTAACCAGTACCATTGATAAGAACTAGTTCACTCTTAACACGAATGGACTCTGTTGATCATAATTCCTCACTCAAATTTTAGTAAATCAACCTAAAGTTATCCCTCATAAAACCATTTCTTTTAGATTATGTATCATTCAATCGCATTAGTTTGTAACTATTTCTCCAGCTACTGTTTGTTAATAAGTAGTATGATTTATTTATGAGTAATCGACTGGGATGATTAGTTATAAGTAGACTTGTTTGTCACCGTCCGCTATTTCATGATATTGATTATTTAATGTACAACTGACAAAGAAAGAGGCTAGTAGAGGAAGAATGTATCTGCATCCGATTCCACTTTCATCGTGACCTTTTATGCTAATTAATATATGTTTTAAAATATGCTGGATCATAAGTGCACATTGTTGAGAATTCCTGTTCTAGGACTAAACCGCCGTCCAGAGCTTCCAGGCTTTCATCAATAGTCGTGAGAAGTGTAGTTTGTGATTTAAAATTTATTAGTCAACTCAATTAATTGTCGATGAGATAAATAACGACACTAAATTCTAGACCAGGTATAAAATTAATATTTAAGTGCTTAACGAACTCCGCCCGGAGCCCTTCTGGGGCTAATGCCGGTCCCAAGCCCATATAAAAGAGAAGGACTGGCGACCTCATCCCGTAGAAAACTAACGCGTTAAAAAATGCTAACCAGAAAAAAACCATTTTAACTCTGCCCTGGGAGTTAGAAGGTCTTCATTCAGAAGAGTTATGACGTCTCATAATGAAAGACGAGTTCCTTCGGTAGTCACGAGGCCGGTGCTCCTTCTCGCTCTAGACTACATGTTGGAGCATTTAATGTACGGACATTTTGTCAAATAGGGCAACAGGCTTCATTAGCTAGGACTTAAGAATCTCGTGCCATCGATGTATGCTGCGTCTCGTAAACGCGCATACAGGATCCGAGTCGCGTCATACACTTGGCCACACCATGTCAAAATAAAGAAGCAGCTCGATTTACTCTTCGTGTATCCGGTAGCCCTGATGCTGCTTCCAGGAGTCTTGCTGGCGTAGGCATAGCATTGAGTCGTACGGCAGAACAATCTCTCCTTGACTGGATCCCAATAGATAGTCGATTGTGCGCTGTCCGACTAAACGGGACAGTAAGGACTCGGAAAGATAGGGACAATCGCCTTTGCCTCTTCATCGGATCTGCCTATGCACCCACTGAATGCAGTTCAGACGAGGTGAAAGATGAGTTTTACAGAAAGCTTTCGGACCTCCTCCAAAAAGCTAGGCGCTCTGATATAGTAATAATGGCTGGTGACTTTAATGCTCAAGTAGGTAGACTAAGTGAGAAGGAGAAACACCTAGGTGGATGTTATGGTGTCGCGGCTCAGAGAACAGACAATGGTGACCGTCTGTTGCAAACATGCTCAGACAACCGCCTATTCTTAGCAAACACTAACTTTAGGCATAAGGAAAAGCATCTGTTGACCTGGCGACCTCCAAAGTCGTCTCAACGTTGGACTCAACTAGATCACATCGCCATCAGCCACCGATGGAGGGGTTCGATAGAGGACTGTCGCTCGTTCTGGGGCACATGCCTAGATTCAGATCATGCCCTAGTGCGAGCGCGTATTTGTTTGAAGCTTACTGGGCGTAGGAAAGACACCGTAAGAAAGCCTCTTAGGGTTTTACTTAATGATAATAAGGCGAAAAATATATTTCAGGAACAACTAGAAAGAGAGTTAGGCGACCATTTAAGCGATTCCCATCCGGAAGCAGGATGGAATGATATCAAGAAGGCTGTGGAAACAGCAGTGATATCTGCTAGCAAGGTAAACCATAAGGCCAGGATGAAGCCGTGGATCTCAGTAGCATCCACCGATCTGATGGATGCTCGAAAACTCATCCCACCTGGCATGATGAAGAACGAAGTCAACTTAGGCGCAGACTTATGAAAAGCCTACGTAATGATCGCGAACAGTGGTGGGTGGCGAAAGCAAAAGCGATGGAAAAGGCAGCGGCGATCGGCAACAGTAGACAACTTTTCCGCCTTATCAAGGAAACCGGTATTAGGAATCCTAGTGTAAGTGAGACTATCTCAGAATATGACGGGACTATTATTTATTCTCAATCCAGGAGACTGGATCGATGGGCAGAACACTTTAGGGATCAGTTCAACTGGCCTCGAGCCACTCTTCAGTTACCCACGATCTCCAGTCATCCTGAATGGCAAATCGACGTAAGTCCCCCTAGTCTTAATGAAGTTGAAAAAGCGTTAGGAAATCTGAAGCGAGGACGAGCTGCGGGTCCTGATAGACTGACCCCTGAGATATTTAAGGATGGTGGTTCAGTTTTAGCAGCTAGATTGACTCAGACCCTAGGTAGAATCTGGGAACTGGACGTAATCCCATCCGACTGGTCTCAATCACTGATTGTCCCAATCTATAAGAAAGGACAGAAGTCTTCTTGTGACAATCACAGAGGAATAAGTCTAACTAATATAGTATCTAAAATATTGGCCTCAATAATACTTCGACGTTTAACGAAAGCTCGTGAAGAGCAAACTCGAGAAAACCAATCTGGTTTTCGACCTGGACGTGGCTGTATAGACCACATTTTCACACTACGACAGGTCCTGGAACACAGACACACATTTAGGCTTCCTACAATAGTTGTTTTCCTAGACCTTAAGGCGGCATTTGACTCTGTGGATCGTGAGGTTCTGTGGCAGTGTCTGTCATTGAAAGGTGTACCAAAGAAGTACATTAACCTCATACAAGCTCTCTACTCAAACACCACTGGTCGAGTGAGAGCTTATGGCGAACTGTCACCGGAATTCTCTACATCAAGTGGTGTCCGTCAGGGATGTCCACTTTCTCCATTCTTGTTTAATTTTATCATAGACATGCTCCTAGAAATCACCTTATCCTCGTCTGAATTTTGAGGAGTAGACCTTTTACCGGGTGGCTCGCTTATTGACTTAGAATATGCCGATGACATTGTCCTACTTGGTGAAGACGCTGAAAAAATGCAGAGTCTTCTGACTACCCTAAGCAACAATGCAAGCATGTTCGGGATGCGGTTTTCCCCCTCGAAATGCAAAATGTTGCTTCAAGACTGGGTTTCATCGGCACCTGAACTAGTGATAGGGAGTGAAGTGGTCGAACGTGTAGACCGCTTCACTTATCTAGGGAGTCTCATCAGTGCTGATGGCCTGATGACTGACGAAATCTCGGCACGGATACAGAAGGCTCGATTGGCTTTTGCCAACCTGCGTCACTTATGGCGTAGGCGAGATATCCGTTTGCTGACTAAAGGACGAGTGTACTGCTCAGTGGTTCGCTCCGTCTTACTTTATGGCTGTGAAACATGGCCAATGAGAGTAGAAGATACTCGTCGGTTATTGGTTTTCGATCATAGGTGTCTTCGAAGCATTGCTCGTATAACGTGGGACAACCGAGTGAGCAACGCTGTTATTAGGAAACGGGTACTAGGTAAGAATGGCAGATCAATCGATGAAGTGGTGAAACTTCATCAGTTGAGGTGGTTGGGACACGTGTTGCGTATGCCTAACCACCGACTGCCTCGTTGGAAGAAAGCTAGCGACGGCCAAACCAAAACATGGCAGAAATCCATGAAGTCATTGACGAGTGGACTTAGCCATGTTGGTAATTGTCGACTACCTGGTTGGGGTCCGCGAGATGATAATAATCGATAGTTAGAGACCTTGAATGACATGGCTCAAAATCGTTCGCAATGGCGCAAGTGCATTTATTCTTTGTGTTCTCTCAAATCCTAATCTTCTG